GCATAACCAAGACTTAGTTTAAGTATAATTATGTATACTGTACACTGTACCTGTAAGGCTGTATACCGGAGAGATCTGACAAAGGGGTAGAGGTGATAAAGCCAACATATTTCAGGCCTGAGTAGACTTGGATGGCGAGCCAAGGATTAATTTATAGAAAAGAAAAAAGGACCAAGGAACTACAAGTTACGCTATAATGTCCACTAACACCACCAGCTTATGACATTTCTATAACTTACTTACACTTATAGAACCTTCCAAGTTGGAAGGCTGTTGGAGTGCGCATCCAAGACGTGCTAGAGCTGATAGCCAGTTAGTTGTAGAACGTCAGTACGAGTACCGTCGGTCAGTGTCGTGCAATGTTATCGCATGAGCTGATTGTTTAGTAGCTGGTGGTGTTAGTGGACAGTATAGCGTAACTTGTAGTTCCTTGGTCCTTTTTTCTTTTCTATATTTCAGGAGGGCGAGGAAAAGAAGGTGGCAAGAAAGAAGTACATGTAGGCTCAATTGGCAGTACCCAAACTAGGCTAGACTACTGTAATCTATCACCTATCAAGAGATGGGAGAATAGCCAGCCATCATGAGCCATGGCGAGAAAGTGCTATACATTGTACAATAATGTACCATTCTGCTGCATTGAGAATGACGCGAACCAAAGCCACGTTTAGCGTTACCTATGCGTAATCATAATTACACCTTTTAAAAACACATGCGTACCTGTTGGTGATCTCCACGGTGTGCGTGTTTGCACTGTTATCGACATGCACAATGTACAGGTATACTGCGTTCTCGCCTCGCTCCCTCCTTCTTATGCAGCTTAGGCTGCCTGTTTTGGAGCCATCTATTGCCTGTGAATGTGTGACGTTAAACTCAGCGTCGGAACAATACATACTGGTACATGCTGGTAGCTTTCCTCTGAGTCTGAATTTCACTCTCCCCTTTCTCTCTCTCTCTCTCTCTCTCTCCTCTCTCTCTCTCTCTCTCTCTCTCTCGCTCATCTCTCTCTCTCTCTCTCTCTCTCTCTCTCTCTCTCTCTCTCTCTCTCTCTCTCTCTCTCTCTCTCTCTCTCTCTCTCTCTCTCTCTCTCTCTCTCTCTCTCTCTCTCTCTCTCTCTCTCTCTCTCTCTCTCTCTCTCTCTCTCTCTCTCTCTCTCTCTCTCTCTCTCTCTCTCTCTCTCTCTCTCTCTCTCTCTCTCTCTCTCTCTCTCTCTCTCTCTCTCTCTCTCTCTCTCTCTCTCTCTCTCTCTCTCTCTCTCTCTCTCTCTCTCTCTCTCTCTCTCTCTCTCTCTCTCTCTCTCTCTCTCTCTCTCTCTCTCTCTCTCTCTCTCTCTCTCTCTCTCTCTCTCTCTCTCTCTCTCTCTCTCTCTCTCTCTCTCTCTCTCTCTCTCTCTCTCTCTCTCTCTCTCTCTCTCTCTCTCTCTCTCTCTCTCTCTCTCTCTCTCTCTCTCTCTCTCTCTTTAATATCATGTAGATATGTACCGACACTGGCCTGTAGTCACATGTTGATACTAGTTTTTGATCACATGACATGTACCTAATTACTGTACAGCACTTGTTTGGGGCTGGACGTTCATACCGAGGCCATCCCCTTTCAGCTCTCTGCAGGTTTCCACGACGGGATGGGCGTTACCACTCACTTCTGCGTACCTAGCAAGGAGCCCACTTTCGCATAGATTCTACTTCAACAGCATGTGCTTCTACCCCTGTACGCCACTATCCATGACTAGATGCCACGTTTTCTCTCATCTCTTTCACCCGCACTACTCTACTCTAGAGCCTAGGGCCTATATAATATTAATAGGGACACGGCATGCACATTCAAGCACATGTATGGCGTACAGTCTATTTGTGTGCTTCGCGGGCGGTTTTATCAACGTCCCTCAATCCATCATCAATGACTGCGTTATGCTCATACTCTGTGGTGAAGTGAATAATTGCCTTCACCACAGTCTATGAGCATGCCCATGGGAATGATAAAAGGAGATACATTCTACATTCTACATTTTACATCCTGTAAACCAGATATACATGTACATGTACATGTATTATGGGGTGTGTGGAGGAGAGGTGTCCAACCATACATGTACATCATACACGTGAAAAATGCCCACGTGCATGTACATGCACGTGCCAGCATGTGCATTGTAACTGCGCCTCTTCCCCCATCGCCCATGACTGAGACTGAGAGAAAACAAACAAACTGTTTGTGACATGAAAACCATTCGGCCTGAGCAGCTGTTCACACTGCCCCACATGTAGATTGTGTATGAAAGGACAAAGAAGACTGGATATTAACCTTAATCTTTGTACTACATGTACATCCGTACTAACATGTAGTAGTTGCTAGCCTGCATTAGCGCAAGTTTTGCAGGTGGCTGACGCGAAAATGTGACTGATTCACTGTCACTGATTGTGAGTGGTAACTGGTACTAGTAACCCAGGTTCGATCCAGCTTTGTTCAACGGTGCTGTCCACTTTATATACAGTGTCATGTACATGTACATCAGGTATGTCCGCTTGCACTTTGTATACAGGTACATAGTACCTATTTGCAAATACATGTATCTATTGTCAAAAACTTTTAAAGTAATATTGAGTACTGTACAACACCATCGAGATTAAGGCTGGATTTCCCATGCAGCTTAGAAGTAGCCGCCATCTTTGATGAACTGGTATCATCACCGTCATAGTACAGTACAGTCAGGTAAATGTAGGTACTATTGCCAGTATTGGTAAGAACTGGATAGTTGGGGTCGAAATGAAATCATAGCGATTTACACAAAAAGCAATTATTCACCTACAACTAAAGTACAGGGCTGCAAGTGCATGCAAGGAGCACACGCACACCAGCTTCGATATTCATGGCACAATTGTATTACACCTGACTATGTACATGTACAGGTAGTACATTGGAAGAGAGAGAGAGAGAGAGAGAGAGAGAGAGAGAAGAGAGATAGATAGATAGATAGATAGAGAGAGAGAGAGAGAGAGAGAGAGAGAGAGAGAGATAGATAGATAGATAGATAGATAGATAGAGAGAGAGAGAGAGAGAGAGAGAGAGAGAGAGAGAGAGAGAGAGAGAGAGAGAGAGAGAGAGAGAGAGAGAGAGAGGAGAGAGAGAGAGAGAGAGAGAGAGAGAGGAGGAGAGAGAGAGAGAGAGAGAGAGAGAGAGAGAGAGAGAGAGAGAGATAGATAGAGAGAGAGAGAGAGAGGATAGATAGATAGATAGATAGATAGATAGATAGAGAGAGAGAGAGAGAGAGAGAGAGAGAGAGAGAGAGAGAGAGAGAGAGAGAGAGAGAGAGAGAGAGAGAGAGAGAGAGAGAGAGAGAGAGAGAGAGAGGGAGAGAGAGAGGAGAGAGAGAGAGAGAGAGAGAGATAGATAGAGAGAGAGAGAGAGAGAGAGAGAGAGAGAGAGAGAGAGAGAGAGAGAGAGAGAGAGAGAGAGAGAGAGAGAGAGAGAGAGAGAGAGAGAGAGAGAGAGAGAGAGAGAGAGAGAGAGAGAGAGAGAGAGAGAGAGAGAGAGAGAGAGAGAGAGAGAGAGAGAGAGAGAGAGAGAGAGAGAGAGAGAGAGAGAGAGAGAGAGAGAGAGAGAGAGAGAGAGAGAGAGAGAGAGAGAGAGAGAGAGAGAGAGAGAGAGAGAGAGAGAGAGAGAGAGAGAGAGAGAGAGAGAGAGAGAGAGAGAGAGAGACATAGCCACACTCACAGCCTCAATGATAATGGTTGTATACCTAGTACAATGCCAATGGGTAGGACTTAAGTGTTTGCTGTGTAGTGTGGGGATTGACATCCATATCCAGTGTATGTGAGTGTGGGCTCCATGCAGGCGTTGTCAATATTGATATGGAGATGCCCAGCTACATGTACCACATAATTACATGACTAGTCATTGGTGTTAGTCTGACAGCATGAAACAAGGTGGAGGACACCTTGCTCGGAAACAGTCACCTTTCTACAACCATCCACGGTTGGTAGTTTCCGAACACGGCGTCCTCCACCTTGTTACATGCTGTCAAACCAACAACAAGTGTGAACTAAAACAAGGTTTGTCTACTACCATGTACTATGACGTCACGATTGTACTACATTGTATAAGAAACCTCCGGCTGGTGCGAACAAATACCATCGCCGCATCGGTCCCTCACGCTGTTCGTCTTTAAAAAAGTAAAATCAATCATTATGATGTTGTTCGACTGTCTGTACATGTTTTTGAATTATGTACTTCGAAGTACAATGTCATGTAATACAATGCACCAGTATAATTACATGTATTATGAATCGTTATGACTGTGAAGTACATGTCGGCAGGGAGCCGTGACGTGAGTTTTACCTCTCGGGGGGTTCTGACGTGGCCGTGGGAGTAGTAAGAATAATTCATTCTAAAATGCCTACCCCTGCCCTGGCTTGGTGCAGGCACATCCGGAACGCAGGCCTTTTTAGTTTTTACAGTCTGAGCTGACATGTACTATACTGTGTCGACAATAATTATACTTTTCTTACTCAATCTCATTGTCTGCGGACGTGACGGAACTGTTTCGTCCTTTGGCTTTGTCACAGTTTGTGGACTCATCAGCGAAGCACGAAGATATGTATTTTCTTATAATTTTTGGACCTGAGCTGACGTGATCGTGATCATGGTGATGATGGCATGCATGTAGCAGGCAAGATTGCGCTCTGCACACGACACACGTGCATGAAACTGATTACAGTATGACGTCTATTCCACACTTTGTAGTCAGATTCTGACTGCTTCATTCTGCTTCTGCTATGATCATGATGATACACGTAGATCTACGTACAAATAAAAATAATTCAATGCTTGCATGCACTCAGCTCGGCCCTCGGGCAGCTCAGTGACACACACTCACAGAACAGTGATATGCGCTACATGTACATCTACATAGATCATGGTCATTGTAAGCTTATATTCCTTTTGTGTCTTTCAAGTTTCATTCAACTCGATCGCGCGAGGACCGAAGTGCAACGCTGCATGCGAAGCTGCTCGGACTCGAAGTCGCAGCAGAAGTAGGAGAAGGAGAAAGTCAGTTTGCAAGAAAAAGCGATTTTTCGAGTCTGTTTGCTTGCTTGCATACGGCCTTCGGGGGCTAGCTCGCGATCAACTCCGAGATCCGGTGGGCCACTACAACGCGTGACGCATGCGTTCTGATCGCACTACATTGGAGCGTCACAGTACAGCCAGTCCGATCGCTCAGCTCAGGATCGCTGAATCAACAAGTAGAGCAACAGCAAGACAACGTGTTGACTGGCTTTTTGAGACAGGCTGTAGTCCATGGTAGTCTGATCAAATGAGGGATCCGGTTTGAGTTTCTGCCGTGTCTTTGACGAGCTTTGCACTCGCCCTGTGTCGCGGCATGCCTGTCTCTACGCCGGCACAACCACACCGGACTCCGGCAGGGCCCGCCAACGGAGTAGCTTACGGACAGCCCCGAGGTGACGAGCGAGCTTGCACGCCGCCGCCACCTATTTGTGGTCCGTTTTCGTCGTCATCTTCGTCGTCCTCGTCGACTACTAACGATGCGGCGCAGGAGTTGCAGAATCGACCTGAGAGTGCCCCACCGTCATGCCAGCAAGCTGTGGATCAGAGTGGTACTAACGGTCGATCAGCTAGCCTAACACCATCCTCGGAGCGCTACGTTTCCCGTCCGCCGCTACATGACGACGGCGGGGAGGCCATATCGGGAAGATCGTCCACTCGTCGGTCAAGTTTCCGACGCTTGAAGAAAGCGGGCTCGGTACTCCTACGCGGTAGATCTACGCGTAGCAGTAGCAAAATGTTCGCATCATCAGCTGACGACTCCAGCGTGCGCGCTAGTAGTAGTACTGGTGATAGTGGTGGTGATGGCTCTACTGCAGATTGGCCGGCAACCGGCGCAGCGCAGTATTCTCCTATGAGGCAGCGTGCAACAACGATGTCAGGTACCTTTCCTACCACTGCATCGAGCGCTAATGCTATTGCTGCTAGCGGTGGACGAAAAAGCAGTCCGAGAGGATCTGTGCTGTCCTCTTCGAGCAGCACAGTGAGCTCTCAGCACGGTTTGAGCTCGCCGAGAGCGGACCAGTTTCCTTCGTCACCGACCTCCAGCTCCCGAGTGGTCGACATGGACGCTATGTCAGCCGACACTATGTCGCTGTCGTCGACCCAATCGCCGTCGTCGTCTCGCGCTCGCATACCGCAGGCCCCAGGCTTGGTGGGCATTGCAAATCACGGCAATACCTGTTTCATGAACGCCGTCGTGCAGTGTCTCAGCAACACAGAGCCGCTATGTCGCTATTTCACGCTCGACTCTTACAAACTATCGCGCACGAAGCGCACCCAGCTACACCAGCAAAAACTTCGTCGCCACTCAAAGGCGGGCTCGGCTGTGGCAGCGTCGAAGGAGAGCCAAAGCGCCAGCGGACAGCTACGACCCGGAGCGGTTACCGACCGTTTAGCACTGCTGCTGAAGGCGATGTGGAGTAACCAATACGAATCGAACGTGTCGCAAAGTTTCTGTCAGACTGTTGGTTTCGCCAACGATCGCTATCGCCTGCAGACGCAGCAAGACGCGCACGAGTTTCTCACTTGGCTGCTGAACACGATGGATGGAGATTTGCAGGTAAGACTTTGTGCTGAAAAAGAATGAAATCGGTTTGCCACGCACACACATGCACACGCACGTGAGGCACGGCGTGAGACCTTGGTTTATTTCTTTGCTTCATTGAATGGACTTGGCGTTGTGGCGGTATTTGTGCCAAAGGTGCCAAAGCCCTGTACGCTCTGGGAATGGATACTATTACGCTTGTGTTATTGATGGTCTTCCACTTCTTGCAACTATTTGTTCCGCTCCAGTGGGTGTGTACATACATATGTGAGTGATTAATTATGTGGAGCTGAAAATAATAATAAAATTTATTATTATTTTCAGCTCCAAATAATTATTATTACCACACCAAGCAGAATGCCCGAGCCCTGGTCCAAAAGAGCATAATGAAAATGGCTTCCTCCTGTACCAGGGCAGTAGCAATACCTTGGGCAAGGGAAGAGTTTGAAAGAGATTCATGTCGTGCCAGGCGAGAGTTAGTGGGTACACGACGTGCACGGCAGCCGCGGGAATGCCGACAAAAAGAAATTGCGTGAATTTAATTGCGTACAACTGCGTATTATTTCTAGAGCAAGGTATGTGCACACAACAACCATGTGTGTACCTAGTACATGTAGTACACACAGGCGTGCCAACTACACCCTGGCATTGGCATTGCTAGTAACAACTACACCCTGGCATTGGCATTGCCAGTATCAACTACACCCTGGCATTGGCATTGCTAGTATTGTAGTAGTGATGATGTCCCACATATCATTGCTATTGGTGCACTTGCCCCAAAATCTCTCAGTCTCCAAGTACTAGTAGTAGTAGTAGTAGCTGCTGCATTTTCCAGCACTGGTAGTGAGTGGTACCAGTTACCAATGCAGGGTAGAACCTAGCATGGTTGCTCCCTGGCACACGCCAAGCTCCACAGGCTGCTTTCGTTTCTGAACACAATTATACTGCTAGTTATAACGCGAGGGATGTGCGAACTGCTTTACCTTGTCATCACCATCCCTGTGATATTGGTACAAGTATCAAGCTTGACACCAAGTGTGCAGCAGTGCGGCAGGGCATTATCATTGGGGAACAAAGGCGTAGATTCAGGCAGGCACTCAGATATTCTGGCTTTGTACACGGGGAAGTTGTCAAGTAGGGAGCTCTGTCAAGTACCTGCAGGAGAGTTAACGCCAGGCAATGCAGCAGTAGAAGCAGAAGCAGCACGTGTTGTGTGCTGCTTTCACTGACGCACAAAGAGGATGTAGCTGACGAGTTACACTGCCATGTGGGTTAATTGCCCTCTCTTGTTCAGCTCACAACAGCAGCACCACTGCACCAGCGCCACCAGCAGGTTTTAGCTGGGAGCGTACGAGCAGATTGTCGAGATCCAGCCGCAGGATAGTTGCACTTGTAATGTCAAGATAAAGTTTTTTAAATGTTAGTTTCCGCCAGCCCCAGTGTGTTTCCAGCACTGTCCTGCATGCTGTGGTAAAACCTGCTCTCTTGCACGCTGTGGCCAAACCTGCTCTCATGCATACTGTGGCCAAACGTGCAGAACGTAGAAGAGCGACGGTGTTTATCTGCTGCACTCAGAATGTGGATGGGCACCTGCTGCGAACTCAGCTTATCGCCCGCTCTCCGCCACTAACCACTCTGCTTTGACTCCTATCAAACCAGGGCCTGCACAGCATTATGACAGACTAACTGAGTATTTCTGTACCAGGGGCACAGCACTGGCATGACAGACCAACTGAGTATTTCTGTAGCAGGCACAAACTGCTTAGGGGACAAGTACACTAACTGAGTTGGCAGTTGGGCCGGCATTTCAACACTACTGCCCCCTCCCCCTCCATCCCGTACACTTGAGGAGAGAGCTACGTGTTTGTGCATGTGTTCAGTGACATTCCGTAGCGGCGGCCCGTGACAGAGGTGGGCTGGTCTCTGACAATGGCTAATTGATGGTTGAAACTGAGAGAATTAAATTTTGCCCCGCCTCACGAAGTTCAAAATCACCGTAAATGTTCGACTATTTTGCTCCGGTGATTATTGCCCCTTGGAAATTGCTTCCATTGACGGGACAGCACAGAACCTGGTCTGTGCCATCTCTGCTTCTCAACCATAGGCACATGTTTGTGGTGGGGAGTTTTAAGTCCAAGTACAAGCTTCTTATCTGCAGGAAAATTGTTGACGCGCTGGCAATCATGCGTGTAAGGAAGGGTGTTCAGTGTTCAATGGCTTTGATCAGTTCCTGTTGCACGGGGAAGTGTGTAAATGTATATGCTGGGGTTATCTGGGGTAATTCATACTACTGCCTCATGGGCACGTAATGTCATTTGATGTATGTGTGTGTGTATGTGCATGTGTGTGTACATGTGTGTGTCTGGGTGTGGGTGTGTGTACATGGTGTGTGTATGTGTTGTGTGTATGTGTGTGTGTGTGTGCATGCATGTTTGTGCATGTGTACGTGCATGTGTGTGCATGTGCGTGCACACACACGTGTGTGTCTCTCTCTCCATTCTCTATGTCCGCAATCCTGCCCCGCACAGGGAGAGCAGACGAAACGTCACTCTACGCTTAGCTTCGGGTCAATGGTGAGACGCAAGAGCTTCAGTGCCAAGGTAGGACGACGCATCATCTTCACTATACAGTCCACTCCTGATATAACAAACACCATAGTGCTGGAGAATTAGGTCTTTATTGCCGAAGTTTGTTATAACAGAAATGCACTTACTGGTACACGGTGGGTTTGAACTCGGATATGGACAACGGTTCACTATAATTATCACGCAATTCGTTATATGCGAGTTTGTTATAAGTGGCGTCGACTGTAATTAGCGAATGCTGTGTTTCTTAAGGCCATAGTTCAGTATAGCAGAATTGCTTTGCGCATACTTTAAGACGACCGCTCAAGGGACCTTCAAAACGTGGTCTCTGTTACCAGGTGGTGCTGATTGTCAAGTAACTGGTGGTGTTAGTGGACATTATAGTGTAACTTGTGGTTCCTTGGTCCTTTTCTTTGCTATAATGTATGCACGTACTGTGAGTCAACAAATATTCGGCGCATATTTTTTTCGGCTATTTCGGCCTGGTCATGTTTGGCTGAAAATTTGTTGCGGCCGAAGTTATGTTCTGGAAGGTTCAGGGTGACAGTGCATACAGGTGGCAGCAGTACAGGCCGAACATTGTATGCGGCCGAAATGTGTTTTAGCCCTGGGACTGGTCGAACATTTGAATGGACCGAAAATGTCTAGACTTACATCAGGCTCTTCATTTTCAATCCTTGTCCGTTCTCGACTTCGTCCGTCCCGCAATCGTTCTCGACTTCGTCAATCCTTGTCCGTTCTCGACTTCGTCCGTCCCGCAATCGTTCTCGACTTCGTCAATCCTTGTCCGTTCTCGACTTCGTCCGTCCCGCAATCGTTCTCGACTTCGTCAATCCTTGTCCGTTCTCGACTTCGTCAATCCTTGTCCGTTCTCGACTTCGTCAATCCTTGTTCGTTCTCGACTTCGTCAATCCTTGTACGTTCTCGACTTCGTCAATCCTTGTTCGTTCTCGACTTCGTCAATCCTTGTCCGTTCTCGACTTCGTCAATCCTTGTTCGTTCTCGACTTCGTCAATCCTTGTACGTTCTCGACTTCGTCCGTCCCACAATCGTTCTCGTAACAGTGTAAATTCTCACTTGATGTTATGATATTTCTTGTATTCTTACAAACATAGAAGTAGCGACTTTGGCGGTACAGTGAAACCTGTCTAGGACGACCGCTCAAGGGACTTTCAAAACGTGGTCTCTTGGTAACCAGGTGGTCTCCTTAACCAGGGTCATTTGAGTGGAATAGCATCCCTTGGTCGTGGTTCCAGTGCCAGTGGTCTTCTTGGACAGGTGGCCGCCTTTTCCGATTGGTGGCCTTGACATGTTTTACTGCAGTTGTAGACATAGTCGGTTGCTCCCTTGTGAGGCTCTTGCTTCCTGCCTAACTTTATACTGGACTCGCCCAGGACAGCTACCGAAAGCGCACGAGGAGCATGTCGAATCCCGCTTCCACTGGGCGAACCTGCTAGAAAACGTCACTCCCTGCTCAATACAGTGTTTCAGGGAATTTCTCCCCCTTTCGATTGGCTAGAATAGGGCTTCTCAACACGCCTGTTTTGTACAGAATATGCGTGGTTTGAGTGTGGAATATGCGTCTACGGGAGTGCCGCATGATGTTACGTACATTTATGTAGCGCTATACATGTTTGTTTCATGGGGCATCGTAATTGATCCTTCCAAACATTTCTACATTCTTCATATTCACTTTCTCTGGTGCTCTCTCTATCTCTCTCTCTCTCTCTCTCTCTCTCTCTCTCTCTCTCTCTCTCTCTCTCTCTCTCTCTCTCTCTCTCTCTCTCTCTCTCTCTCTCTCTCTCTCTCTCTCTCTCTCTCTCTCTCTCTCTCTCTCTCTCTCTCTCTCTCCTCACTGTAGAGTGAACAACTGAATACCAGTTACATACAGAATCTCTTCTTGGGTATGTCAATGTCGACGCTCAAGTGTACATGTGGATATATCAGTGCTTCACCGGATCCATTCATGTGCCTCTCGCTCCCCTTGCCTGGAAATCACGGTGTTCGTAAGGTAAGCGAAAGATGTGTGTGTGTGTTCTTGAACGTGTGTTTGTGTGTGTGTGTGTGTGTGTGTGTGTCCGCTATCGTTGCTGTACGAGAAAATCAGCTTTTGCGGGAATGAACTGCATCTGTGCATATGTGTATCAATCCAGCACGATAGTGTCCTCTCTGCACACAAAGTGCTCAATGCCCGAAAGGCCAGAGTTTCCTTACAAGTGTGGTGGAGCGAAATATAGTAGACATTTTAGATACAGTATACCGCAATGGCATGCCCTTTCCTGTAGAATCCGATGTCAGTGCGAGGCTTCTATTCAATTCAGGCTTCTATTCGAACCACATATCTCAGTCTATGCATGTCAATACTAAAACCAGGCTTACATGTATAATTATGTGCTGACAGTGGGTCTTAAACGGAATCAGGCTTGTATCCAAAACAGGCTTCTTTACAAGAGACGCTCTTATACAAGACACTACAGTACGTACTGCAAGTCAACAAATATTCGGCGCATATTTACTCTTGGTTATTTTCGGCCTGATCATGTTTGGCCGAAAATTTGTTTTGCAAGGTTCAGTGTGACAGTGTATACAGGCGGCAGCAGTACAGGCAGAAAATTCGATGCGGCCGAAATGGGTTTTAGCCCTGGGAGGCTGAAATTTGAATGGGCCGAATATGTGTCGACTTTTAGTACACCTGTTTGTTGCCGTTGTTTGTGACTGTGCACGTGCAGGTGATAGTTCAGGTGATCTTCCGTAGTCACGCACGGCGGCCATTGCAGATAGGCCTGCTCGTGCCCAAGGTCGGGGAGAGCGACGAGACTGTCACCTCCGTTCTCAAGGAGGTCTGCGGGCGCACCAGCCTCCCGGCCAGTCACGTGCTGCTCTGCAGTATCCGCCTGCACTCGTTTGGTAACTATCACCTGCCCGGGGAGAGCGTCGACACGGTGCCAGAGTTGATCTTCGCGTTTGAGACGCCCAGCTACGCAAGCACAGTTACCAGCAGCCAGCTGATGTCCGTGTGTAAGTACGTGTTGTGTATGCAAGTTAGTCATAATATATCTACTACACCGTTTGTTACTGTATTGCACATGCTCGCATATTGTTGTTGTTGTTGTTGTTGTTGTTGCTTTACCTGACCAAGAGGAATGTCTTCCAAATGCTAGTGTTTGTGTGTGCCAGTTAGAATGCATGAATGTAATGGTATGTTAGTCCGCAAGGGGACATAACAGTACAATCATAATAATAGTAAATAATAATAATAATAATAATAATAAGCCCCCGGATGATGCATTTTATTTTTTCGTGCTACTGATATTTGGCTAGAATGATGTGGCAACACTGAACATGTCTGACAAATCTCTGCACAGAAGTTGCTATGGCTTCTGCTGTAGCATCACTATCATCGCCTCCGGCGATGGGCGTCAAAATTATTTGGTCAATGATGTGTATGTGTGTGTTCTGTACGCACGTCTGCGCATGTGCACGTGTGTGTGTGCCCATCTCACTATTGCTCTTTCTTTCTCCCCCCCCCCCTTCCCTCTCTCTCTCACAGCCACTCACGCTAGCGATCAGCCAGACGCTAGTCCAGGCATACATCGCGGTTCCGACACCGTCTTCTCCGGCAGCAGTTGCGGTGGCACACCACACCGCCCGTCGCTGACGGATATGGACGGCAGCGGCGCACACGGCACAGTGTTCCTTTCTTCAACACCCGAAGAGCAGGAGCGACGGCGCGGCAGTCAGTTCTCGGAAAGTAACCTCGTCACCCCGAACAGCATCACGACTGGCGGCCGATCGAAGGAGCTACTCTCCCCGCCGGATGGATACGCGAATTCGCCAGCCAGGAGGTCCCAGTCGCAACGATCGCACGACAGTCATACACAGCAACAGCACAGACACGGCGGAAGTCCTCAGGGTGGCGGTACGGAACAGCACTTGCATGGTCAGCACGGGCAGCAAGAGATCCCAGTGTCCAACACGAGCAGTTATGCCAACTTGCCCGCGGGTACCAGCGGCACACAAGACACGTGGCTATCGGAGCTCACCATCGAGGAGCAAGGACAGCGCTACGCCAACCTACCGCTGAGCGAGATTGACCACTCGGAAACAGCCCCGGATCTAGACGGCGCCATGGACGATGCAGCGAGTCCGCAGTTCCATCACCGTGGAGATAAGCTTCTAGATCAAAATGCTGACAATCGCCATGACAACCCAGAGCCTCCGGTTACCGTAGTGGTCCAGGGCAGTACGCCGAGGAACAGCAAGCAAAACTCGGCAAGTGATGTGAGCGACGCGCTGAGTGGAGGCGGCGGTGGCAGTGCAAACGATGCTGAAAACGACAGCGCCATCGGCTCACTGTGCGACGGGGGACCGTCTCAGGCGACCACTCCGGGGGCAGCCACCAGCACGATAGCGGCCACGACGGCCACCCTGGACGGTACGTATGTGAATATGGCCAGCAGAACGCATGCTGCGCTGGGGGCCGCATCGTCGACGACAGCAGCAGCTGTGGATGCACGCGGGGATATGGTGTACGTGAACATGGCGCAAGGACAAGCGAACTCGGCGCGTGGGGACAATGCTCGCACTCCGGACGTGAAAGGCGTGTACAAGCACACACCTCTGCACGCACAGGACAGCAGTGGTGGTGGCGCTGGTGGCGGTGGCGTCAGCATCATCGACGATGGTCACGCCCCTCCTGTGTTGCCGCGTAGTCAGACGTCCCTCCCCGAGCGTCTGCAGCAACCGCGAATGTCACAGGAGTCCACAGTGAGTGGCATGTCTGGCTCTGGGTCGCCGAGTTTTGCGCGCAAGCGGCCTTCGAACGACGCAAACATGGCAGAGTTCATTGGCCTTGCTGGCGGTAATGGCAACAGCGTTCCTAAGGAATTACGTGACAACTCCCGGCTTAGTATGGAAGCGAACTCGATGTATCGCCGACCGATAATGGCCAGTACGAGTAGCAACGAAACGTTCGTGCGTAACTCGCTGGTCATTCAGGAGTCACTGCTGGTGCTGGTTCTGCTAGTGGAGGGCACGGCACACGAGGGTGCAAGGTAAGGAGGTTGCCGTAGTGTGTGTGTGTGTGTGTGTGTGTATGTGTGTACGTGTGTGTGTACGTGTGTGTACGCAAGTGTGTGTGTGTGTGTGTGTGTGTGTGTGTGTGTGTGTGTGTGTGTGTGTGTGTGTGTGTGTGTGTGTGCATGTGTGTGTGTGTTTGAAGTTGCAGAGACTTTTGTTTCTTGTTTGTGTGATGTTACCCATTCCATTAACAAAATTGTTTGTCTGTGCTGTGATATGCTGCCATGCAAATCGTACCCGGGCTGGCCCGACCAGTGCGGAGTTGGCGCATACACCATGCACTCGCATGTACAAGTGCACTCGTATATGCATGTCGTGTGACCGCCCTCTTGCCAATGGGGTTTGAGTACCGTCTGTCTGTCTGTTCGTCTGTCTGTTTGTCTGTCTATCCGTCTGTGTGTGTTTGTTTGTGTGTTTATCTGTCTGTTTGTCTGGTACATCAGTAGGTAGCCGAACCACACCACAGGAGCCAGAGTTGATATTGATGAATCTTAGATTTGTCAGTATGAGATTCTTGTTCGTGGTTCGACTACCTACTGCTATATGGGATGGATTTTATAGCTGGACCTAACTGGTGTGTTATCATTTGGAATATTTTAAAGCTCTTTGATGTTGTGTGTTTGGCTGCCTTCCTGTCTGCCTGCATGCTTGCCTGCCTGTGTCTGTCTGTCTGTCTGTCTGCCTGTTTGCCTGCCTGTTGGCTTGCTTGCTTGCCTGCTTGTCTGTTTGTCTGTCTGTCTATTCATGTCGGTAGATTTGGTTCGCCGATGGTTCTGCGTGTACGCCGTGACATCAAGTATGTACATCTTCACAGCATCATAGTCAAGCACATGCAGCGCTACCTGGACAAGCCAATCTCCAAGAAGGTGAGTGCAACGCTACAACAGTTCACAGTTTATCCGAATACGCTCGTTTATCCGGACAGTCCTGGACCGGGCACTGGCCGTAGCTTTGAAATATCTGTAACTCCCAATCACATACACATTACTGAGGAAAGACCATAGATGTGACATGTGACGTCATTTTTCCCCACTAAAAGTGACAAAAGAGTAGTAATATTTCCACTGAAACTTGCCCAAAGGGTGCCCAAAGTGCCCGTCACTTCGTGGTTCAGATAACCAAGGTACTAGTGTGAGTGTAGTCCCACTGGCTCTTGAAAACCCGATTTTGGCCGAAATTGGGCTAAAACCCACTTTCAATTTGAATTTTATAGGTTTGGGATTTGTTTCTAGGCACATTTTCCTCGGTATACCTGTTCTAATTTCGTAAAACCCGTGACTGGGTTTCGCCTGTCCTGCACTGTTCCGGCCTCAAATGTGGCAAGGAATATTTGCATGGGCCACACAATGCTGAAGCTGAATGTACTGTCTCCTTTTCACCGTGTCTCCCACTACATTGTACATACGTGCAGGACAACAAGAAGTTAGGGTGACAAATTTGTGTGAAGAACTCTAGTTAGCGGTTTTGTGGCATTATCAGTGTCAGTCTGGATGAGTTTGAGCCACACGCTTTTGAAAACTGAGTGAAACCGTAACTCGACTGTTTGCCGTGTGTGTGTGTGTGTGTGTGTGTGTGTGTGTGCGTGCGCGTGTGTGCGCATGTGTGTGTGTGTGTGTGTGTGTGTGTGTGTGTGCGTGTGTGTGTGTGTTCCTAGATGCGGTCAACGTTGATGTTCCGATTGAGAGTACAAGGAGGTCATCCTGGGCAGTCGTATCTCTCACCTGAAGACCACACACCACTTTACAGCAAAACGGTTGACGTGTAAGAGATCTCATATCAATATTGATGTTACTGCTGTTGTTGTTGCTGTTGCTGTTGCTGCTGGTGGTGATGGTGGCGGTGGTGCTGGTGGTGCTGGTGGTGATGGTGGTGCTGGCGGTGGTGCTGGTGGTGCTGGTGGTGCTGGTGGCGGTGACGGTACTGCTGGTGGTGGTGCTGGTGTTCGTGTTGTGGGTAGTGATGCTGGTGGTGCTGGTGTTGTTCGTGGTGGTGGTACTGGTGCTGCTGATGGTGGTGCTGTTGTTAGTACAGGCCCCTCACACCGACTTTTGGAGGTGGGTGGCCATGGAAGGGGGGGGGGGGGAAATGTCAAAAATTGAATCCTATTGCAAGCATTTCTGGGCGTTTGGTGCCATTTCAGTGCAGCTACATGTACAGTGAAAGACTTTTTGATTCTTCAACAAACCAAGAAGACGCTACGATCGGGGACAAGGATTCGTCATCGCCACGTTTGCGCCGAGCTGCAATCAACGCGCTTTGTTGCAGAGTGCTCGAAAAAAGGCCGCAAAAGTGAGCCGGCCTCAGCCGCCCCGGCCTTAGCCACCCCCCGGCTGTGACGGCCTTGTAGTAACTCTACTGGTGTGAGTGCTGGTGCTGTTCTTGTGTGGGCGTTGGTACTCATGGTAACCAAAGCCATGCTAGCAAGACTACTCAGTACTGTAAATATACAAATTTTCGGCAGCTATTTAATTTCGGCTATATTCGGCACCGATCCAAAACGCCTAAATTAAAACGCCGATGAAATTTTTCACAGCATCTGTCGCACTATACCATGCCCTCTACCCCACGCCGAAAATAAATCGCCGCCGAAATGTCAAAAATCGTGAAGTGCCGAAATTTTGCAGCGCCGAAATTTTGTATATTTACAGTATATCCGAATGTTTTAACGCGACCACTCGGATAAGGCGACCACCTGCTCTAGAAGACCACTGAAATCAGCACCAAGTGGAATGCTATTTCCAGTCAAATGACCCTGGATAAGGAGACCACCTGGTAACAGAGACCGTGTTTTGAAGGTCCCTTGAGCGGCCATCTTAGACAGGTTTCAGTGTAAATCCAAATTGTTAGAGGTGCATGTAGCTGAGTTCATGTTTTGTTTGTTTGTTTGTTTGTATTCTTTATTTAGAGTGGGAAGTCCAAAACAGGCCCTAGCCTAATAACAATGGTCCCACTAGCAGTGAATCCCAAGGACACTATTCTGTTTTGTAGGCGGTAATCACATTATTTTGTTTTCTTCTTCTCTCTTTTCTATGTACAGAGCGCTGCGCAGTCTGCCTACGGATATTCCACAGAAGCATATTCGCATCATCACCGAGTGGACGAAACAGACGAGAAGCAAGTAAGATGGCCTTTGTGTGTGTGTGTGTGTGTGTGTGTGTGTGTGTGTGTGTGTGTGTGTGTGTGTGTGTGTGTGTGCGTGTGTGTGCGTGCGTGTGCATGTGTACATGCGCGTACAAGAACATGCGCATGCAAATGCTGCTAAACTGGTAACAGCACTCCTGCTGATATTAACGAGAGTGTTTCCCAATGACAGGGCATAGGGCTCATGTAGACTGACGGTCTTTCCTAGCTGGACATTGATAACAACTTACAAGTCCTTCTGATCTTTGAGAGTTGTGGTGTACCAGCGGATGCGGAAAATTCCGTCTCCAGCCGAGTCTCACGCGAACCGCGAATCTTCATCTCCTTCTTACAAGTCCTCCTTGTCTGAGGTTGTGGGGGCTGCGAGATTGTCGTTTAGCCTCTACATCATCATCATTTCTCATGCACGTAGGGACTAGTAGATACAAAGTGTATGCAGTCCTGTGTGCCCCCCCCCCAGCTACCACCACGCGCACAACAGCTATACTAGTGTCATGTATGCACACGGTCATAGGACCAATGTTACCTTTAACCAAGCAGACACCATGATCGTGTGTGTGCACGTGCACGTCTGTGTGTGTGTGTGTTTGCATGACCGTCCAGGCTGTGTTTGTTAGCTGAAGAGATGCCGGACGTTCATGACAGTGTACGTGACGTGGAGGATAGCATGCTGAAGCAGTCGCGGTGCACTCTGTCTGACTGCCTTGCAAAGTACACACAACCAGAGCAGGTAAGTTGACGGACAAGTTTTGGGCGTCGGTTGGTTTCGTAGCACACTGCTGTTGAATAGAAGAATGATGCATCGGCGTGACCTAATCAGTGCTGATGTATGGGGTTGAGAAGCATTGGCTTTCACTGTATCTAGATGTAGATATGGTGTTCATTTCTCAGTTGTTTTTAGTCGTATCTTTTTTTGTATTGCTGCTTTTGCACTCACAGTGCCTCTCATTCATGCTCTCTCCTCTCCTCTCCTCTCCTCTCCTCTCCTCTCCTCTCTCTCTCCTCTCTTCTCCTCTCTCTCTCTCTCTCTCTCTCTCTCTCTCTCTCTCTCTCTCTCTCTCTCTCTCTCTCTCTCTCTCTCTCTCTCTCTCTCTCTCTCTCTCTCTCTCTCTCTCTCTTTCTCTTTCTCTTTCTCTTTCTCTCTCTTGCTACAGTTGTATGGTGACTATGCTTGGCACTGTCCAAGGTGTGACAAGGCTAGCAATGGCTCAGTCAAGCGCCTCACCATCACACAACTACCCAAAGTTCTCATCGTCCATGTCAAGAGATTCCAACATGTAAGTAGCGAGCTGGCTGTGTTTCTACACACAATTGTAAGCCGATGGTAAAGCGGATGTGTGAACTTGACTTCTTGCTAAAGTAGCAATGGCTTACAGGGACGTAGTGGTGTCAAAAGTACGCAGAGAGATTCTAACAGTAAACGAAGTCCACAGGTCCAGTACTCTACTTGCAATGGCAGGGTAATTCTGCACAGACGGTGGGGCAAAATTTCGTTCTGACGTTTGATGGAATACCCAGACAGCAAATATCATGCCACATGGAGTACCGTGTTTCCGGAGTATAAGCCGTACTTTAAGTAGCCCTTATCCGCCTGTACAGTCAAAAACCAACAACTATCCGTGGAAAACTTTAACAGGCTGTAACTTACACATTTATTTTCCGATTTACACCATTTTGGTCTCAAAAGAAGCAGGAAAGACCCATCTTTCCTGTGCAAAAGAGCGGATCATGCTCCAAAGAGAATATACGACTTATAAGTCTCCAAAGTAGGGCTATTTTCACACCGCTTTGAACACTAAACCCATGTTCAGACTTAGGCGTGTGGGTGTATGACAGGGTGAGAAAAGTCGAAGAGCGAGTGCCATTGAATGATGCGTTTTCAGCACTCGGTGTCATGCCCTCGTGAGATTACTTTTCCCATTATGTTTGGGATATAATGTGGCGTGTGTGTATGTGTGTGCTTGCGTGCGTGCGTATGTGTTTTCACGCACGGTTTCCGCAGGTTGGCAAACACCACATGAAGGCGGACACATTCATGGACTTCCCCGTTGACCTGCTGGACATGCAGCCGTACACCGACATGAAGTCATCTCCCACGCCCATGCCCAAGAGACCGCACTCGACCAAGCAGCAGCAGCGCTTCATGGATCGGCCGCCGTCGGTCCGCGCCACTGCCATTCGCTACGTGAACATCGAGGCGATTGAAACCCACAGCGGCGTGCCGTCCACTAAGTACAAGCTGATCGGGCTGGTGAATCATGTTGGCCAGTTGAACCGCGGTCACTACATGGCTGTGTGTCGCAGTGTGCTCACCAACCACTGGTACTCGTACGACGACTCCAAGGTGGTGCCCACCGAACAGGACAAGCTGGTGACGCGCGACGCCTTCCTGCTCTTCTACCAGCGGCTGGATCTGCTGCAGCCGGTGCACCCGCTCGACTGGATCAAGCAGATCGACGTGCAGGATCTGGTCCGCGAGCATGGACCTCGGCAACACCGCCAGCAGCAGCAGCAGCAGCAGCAGCAGCAGCAAGCTAGTGGTGCTGGTCAGCGGGGATCGGCACCGCCGCCCAGCGCTGCCTCACCGTCCAGGCTCTCCATGGCATCGCAACACTCCACGGCAACCAAGGTCTCCGCGACGATGTCCACAACCAGCCAATCGGCCGGTGGCAGCTCTGTACAGCATATCGCCGATGCTGGTGGTGATGCTCTGGATATGGCGGCGGCCAGTGTCTCCCTACCCGTCTCGCCTCTAGTCTCGTCCGCAGCATCACCGTCACCCTCCACGACGAGATTACAGGAGCGTCGGCGTCATCTTGTGCACACCGAAACGGCACTGTGATATGCAGTGCAGTCAAGCGTAGCCACTGTCGGAAAAGCAAGGCAGGTTGGAGGTTGGGGATCAGTGGGGGGTGGCTCTGGCTTGTGTGCGTGTGTGGACGTGTGCTGGTCTTTATGGTGCAGTGCGGTGCGGCAATGTCGCTTCAGTGCACTCACGGCGGCAGTTATCGTCTGATCACAAAGTCTCTCAGAGCAGCAGCATTGCCTGTACGTTTACAGTGGGCCATCACGCTGTGTGTGATGTGAGCCATGCAATGCGTGTGTGATGTGAGCCATGCAATGCGTGTGTGATGTGAGCCATGCAATGCGTGTGTGATGTGAGCCATGCAATGCGTGTGTGATGTGAGCCATGCAATGCGTGTGTGATGTGAGCCATGCAATGCGTGTGTGATGTGAGCCATGCAATGCGTGTGTGATGTGAGCCATGCAATGCGTGTGTGATGTGAGCCATGCAATGCGTGTGTGATGTGAGCCATGCAATGCGTGTGTGATGTGAGCCATGCAATGCGTGTGTGATGTGAGCCATGCAATGCGTGTGTGATGTGAGCCATGCAATGCGTGTGTGATGTGAGCCATGCAATGCGTGTGTGATGTGAGCCATGCAATGCGTGTGTGATGTGAGCCATGCAATGCGTGTGTGATGTGAGCCATGCAATGCGTGTGTGATGTGAGCCATGCAATGCGTGTGTGATGTGAGCCATGCAACGCTGTGTGTGATGTGAGCCATGCAATGCGTGTGTGATGTGAGCCATGCAATGCGTGTGTGATGTGAGCCATGCAATGCGTGTGTGATGTGAGCCATGCAATGCGTGTGTGATGTGAGCCATGCAATGCGTGTGTGATGTGAGCCATGCAATGCGTGTGTGATGTGAGCCATGCAATGCGTGTGTGATGTGAGCCATGCAATGCGTGTGTGATGTGAGCCATGCAATGCGTGTGTGATGTGAGCCATGCAATGCGTGTGTGATGTGAGCCATGCAATGCGTGTGTGATGTGAGCCATGCAATGCGTGTGTGATGTGAGCCATGCAATGCGTGTGTGATGTGAGCCATGCAATGCGTGTGTGATGTGAGCCATGCAATGCGTGTGTGATGTGAGCCATGCAATGCGTGTGTGATGTGAGCCATGCAATGCGTGTGTGATGTGAGCCATGCAATGCGTGTGTGATGTGAGCCATGCAATGCGTGTGTGATGTGAGCCATGCAATGCGTGTGTGATGTGAGCCATGCAATGCGTGTGTGATGTGAGCCATGCAATGCGTGTGTGATGTGAGCCATGCAATGCGTGTGTGATGTGAGCCATGCAATGCGTGTGTGATGTGAGCCATGCAATGCGTGTGTGATGTGAGCCATGCAATGCGTGTGTGATGTGAGCCATGCAATGCGTGTGTGATGTGAGCCATGCAATGCGTGTGTGATGAGAGCCATGCAATGCGTGTCACTAGCACTAGAAGTGTGTGATGTGCTGCGGAATAATCTGCGGCTTTACCTGTTGCCAGTCGTGTGATTCTTGTGTGGAGTGGCAAGTGGGTCTACGTAGCACATCTTAGTCAACCCCCCCCCCCCCCCTCTCTGTGTCTCTCTGTGTCTCTCTCTCGTGCTCTCTCTCTCGTCTGCTTGTGCGAGAGTGTGTTTTCACTGTCTTAGTAAGCCAAACAAGAACTGCAATCATGTCTAAACATGATGTATCGCATCCGACCATACCTTGTCAAACTCTCAATACTGTTCTGGTCTTCAAGATTGAATGCCTCCAGTAAACTAACATCCGATCCGGTAACTAATCCCTGTCATTTAGCATTGAACCAATGCTGCGCAGCTAACACAAGTTTGTTTCCTAACCCGCTGCAAGTCTTCATGCACGCAGCCCTTATTCGAACTGTAGTTTATTTTCGCCAGCGTCCGCCACTTATCATATGTTATTCACAACAGCAGCCGCAACCTTAGCAGCAGCAGCAGCAGTAGTGGTACTAGTAGTAGTGCAGTAGAAAGCCTCTGGCATAGATGACATTATTATATTTTATTCATTGTGTGTTCTTTGCTGAGCTTGATGTCTCCGTTCTCATAATGCGCTTTTCTCCTCTTCCAGTTGATCATTCTTCTTTTGCAGGCTCCTCTGACTTTAATTTCCGACTTCCGGCTTGCGTTCCCTCAGCTTGATGATTGCCTCTCGACTCTGCGCTTGAAACTGCACCACTATTTCCGCTTTTTTTCCTCCAGTTTTTCACATTTTAATGTAACGAATAGGTTTTAGCCATGGCATATTTCGCATGATTATCCGTTCATTTCCTCGACACTATGGAACTGTTACAGGCCCACAGTACACAGGTGTGGTTTGTCAGGTCTGTCGCTTATGACCAGGGAGGACATTGTCATACTGCTCCCGGCTCCATGATGCGGGGGAGGAGAGAGAGAGAGAGAGAGAGAGAGAGAGAGAGAGAGAGAGAGAGAGAGAAGAGAGCGAGGGGAAAACAATGATGGTCAGCATGGACCTACGGTATAATTATTATTCCTAATGCACCAAGGCGATGAAGAATATAGTTACAAACAGCCCTCCGTGTGAATGTACCACTGCTTGTTGTATCATTCAGTCCAGGCCGTTATCATCACTACATGTACTGTTTGTCAAGATGATTGTATTGGGGGATCATAAATACTACTTGTAAAAAGAATGGGAGTATAAAAGATTTTAAAAAAGTTATAAAAAAACGCATAAAAAAGACGGCAGCTACAATGCAGAAACGCAGTGATAAGTAGCAGTATGTTGACTGGGTGAAGTCAAGCGGTCCTGCACTTGACTATACAGTTACCCAGCGTATTGACAAGCAAGCGGCCGTGCGCTTGACTATCTGGTCGCTAGGTACAGTGCAGAGGCAGCACATCCCTGGCCACGCTAACACAGCTGCGAGGCAAAGTTTAAAAATATGCAGGCCTGACATGATCGTCATGTTTGTCATGATTGGCATGGCACAGTGAGCCTCATTCGGACACTACCGTACACTGCACTAGCAAAAATCCACATAGCATGGTATAGCAGGACAAACTAGAGATCCAACCTGTTCAGCTAATACCAGTAGTACTAACGTGATCTAATTTATTCGGTTGTAGGTTCTTAGCACTTGGGCAGCTGGGCAGGTAGTTTGCACAAGCCATACACTGATACAGGCTACAGCACAGCTGCATTCTGGAATAGGGGATATCTGCGAAGACCAGCTCCGCGCTTTCTTACGTGTACTCACACAGTCACCGTGCCAATAAGATATTGGCAGTCTGGCCTGAGGTCATATCGGGGATAGCTGCGATGCGTATTGTGCGTGTGCGTGTGTGTCTGTGTGTTTGTGCATGTGTGCTTCTATGATGTATGTGCACTTGTATGCTAGTGGTGAAGACCTGCTCCACACACGTCTGTGCGTGTATGTATGTGTGTGTGTGTGGGGGGGGGGGGGGTGTTTGTGCATGTGTACTTCTATACATACGTGCACTTGTAACTTATGCGGTAGTGGTGAAGACCTGCTCCACACTTTCAAACTAACACGATGCATTGCAATGAGAGACGACGATGCGACGGCGATGAGACGACGGCCAGTGCCGACTAACTATATGGGTCCACGTGGTACACACTGAAATCTCCCGTTGCCGTCAAGTGAAGTTGCCACGCGACATAGCTGCTCTGCGATGCCGCCGACGATTGCCGCTGCTGCGCCGCTTCCGACACCATCACCGCGACATCATCGTCGTCGGCAACCATGATGAGGTCGCCGTCACGATCACGATAGTTCATGATGGCATCATAGTCAGACAAGGCATGACTGACAGAATCCAACAAAAACCCAACATCCAAGAAAAAAAGAAAGAAAAAGTTAAGACAGCAATAAGGAGGATTAGCAGCAAGAGTACGTGAAACCCAAAGTGTGCAGCTTCTGACTTTTTCAACTATGGGTGTCTGTCACGGCGGAATTCCGCAATTACATCATAGTTGCTGCAGATCTGAGGCGGGAAGTGGCGTAGTGCGTACAACTGAGCTGCAGTTGTGCAGAAATAGACCAGCTGGAATCCTGCCTGCACGCACTACATCACTAAAATGATGCAACCACGGAGTTTCGCCGTGACAGCAACCCACCAGAGCTGCACACTCTGGTTTTATGTATTCTTGCTAACATGCAGCATTGTGCATGTTAGCAAATAGGAAATGCTTACAGCGAAATTACACCTCCTTGTTGCTGTCTTATAGCTGCTGTCTCAAAACGATTGTTCACAAAAACAAGTTTTATTCTTCCCAACACCAGGGTACCAAGCAACAAGAAACGATGGGAAGCGAGTGATGGAGATATTTTAAAAAGACAAAAGAACACGCGCGCGCACGCGCACACACACGCACACACACACGCACATATACACACACGCACACACACACACACACACACACACACACACGCACACACACACACACACAAACACACACACACATGATACATTTTCAATGCATTACCAACCTCACGGTCCGGTACAGATCGCGATACGTAGGCTGCAATGCCAGAGATTGTTCAATCTCTACATCCCTGTAATCATAAGAATGAACACGCACACAAATGCACACAGTAAAATATTGGGTGTGAGAGAAATTACACAGAGGTGGCTAGGAGCAGGGCGAATGGAAGAGAGAGAGAGAGAGAGAGAGAGAGAGAGAGAGAGAGAGAGAGAGAGAGAGAGAGAGAGAGAGAGAGAGAGAGAGAGAGAGAGAGAGAAGAGTTGGAGAGAGATGGGAAGGTCATGACCTCATCAGCACGCATGCCAGGCTCCTCTGTGTTGTCAACGTTCGCTTGTCCAATTTTGTCTACCTCCCCTTTTATGTTGCTGGCCAGTGCTTTGTAGTAAAAACAAACAAAAAAACCAAACCATGTACTTACTTCTGTCGGCCACGATAGTGACAGACAACCACCATCTTCTGATCCTCCTCGTCATCTTCATCATCAAAATTATCATCCTACAAGCGACACCAGCAACAGAATGAATACCATCAGGTGGAAAGAAGGAGAAGACCTGACCATTATTGCAGAAGACTATTTTGACCTGGCTAGAACAATGTATGGTATGACAGGTTTCCTATGATTCATGATGACCTAAACAAACAACTTCACAGAGGGATCGGTTGTACACAGCCGAGGATAGATAACGCTACCAAGTTGCACACTCTGGCTAATGTACTCTGGAGTCTTCATTGTACGCAATCTCACCAAACAACATTAACCCAAAGTTTGTACGCACACTGCACACTGCATTCACGCCCTTACCTCTTCATCAATGGGTAGGTCTTCAATGATGGTGACGTAGGAAGACGGGAAGAGACCGACCTTGCCAGCCAGCTTACCCTGCGTCCAGCTGTCATCAATACGCTGCAGCAGCGCTATTGTCACGCCCTTGCGGAACGATAACTCATCGTCAGCTTGTGCCGTGTACGGGTAGTCGGTCTGGGTGAGAAAACAGGACAGTGGTAGTCAAGACAACACAGCTCAGTGGTAGTCAAGACAACACAGCTCAGTGGTCGTCAAAACAGCAAAATATGCACACGCCCGACTGCCCGCTCGCACACAGACACAGACACACACACAGACACACACACACAAACTCCACGAAACACATACTTCGAAGTACACATAAACACACAGAGAGACACATACACACAGACATGCAAAGACACACACACACATACACACACATAATCACATATACACACACATATACACACACACGTACACTGACACACACATACACACACACGCGCGCGCACTCGCACGTGCACGCACATACACACACACGCGGACACACACACAGACCTGTGCTCTTGGTCCTTTCACAGCCTTGACTGAAGCCATTGGTGGTGGAACAGGTCTGCCAGGACCAGCACCGGGTCGAGCGGGAGGAACGCTAGGTGGAGATAAATTGACAAACAGCGTTACACATACACGCACACACACGCAAGCACCACCCCCCCCCCCCCCCCCCCACACACACACAACACAAAGAACTCGCATATCAGTTGCCGACCCGATGCTATCCAAACTACTTTGCTGACAGAATAGAACAAGATAGCTTTGGCACTCCTCCTGGAGAGTACACTATATCACAGTACAATACATGGTACAAAGATACAGGGCTGGATGGGAAAGCCACCAGCAAGCCAAGACTAGGTTTGATGCAGTACGATGTGACGACTAAACACCTACTGTGTGTGTGCACTGCAGTGTGTGTAAGAACGGACCACCGAAGAACGGACCACCGAAGTACGGCCAGTGGAATTTCACCAATTTCTAAGAACGGTGTAGGCTGGATTTTTGCAGACAAGAACGGAAACCGTAATATACACTATACTGTACACTCAGACGTATAACTCTGCATAAATGTACATGTAAGACTGTACCATCGAATAAGAACGAAACGGCTGTGTTCACTAAAAATAAGAACGGGCTAGGCTAGAACCCTGACCCCCCAGTTCTTCAGCGCCCGTCAGTACTGCAGCCAGCAAGCAGGAGCACACTGTAAAAATCATGTGCACAATGTGCCAAGATTGTTGCTGTCACTTTCTTATTTCAATTGAATAATTTGAATAGGCTACACCATAGCTTAGTGGATAGAACATCGCTGGCCTCAAGCGAAGGTCCCTGGTTCGAGTCCTGGTGGTGACAGTCAATTTTTTTCTTCAGAATTTTCCCCTTTCCATTCCCTCGGCTAGTGAAGCCATGACAGTCTTTGACTAAAAAACCAACCGACCGAGTGAGCTAAAGAAAATGACTGACTGATTACGGAGCTCATCTCCAGATACGTAGAAACGTCGTGCATACGGGGCGAGTGCTTCCTTGCGACTTTGTGATGCATTGCATTCTCCGTTGCCGTGTACCGTATTTTCCGGAGTATAAGCCACACTTAAGACACTCGTAATGCACCCAAAAAAAGTCAGTTCGGCTGGTACTACGATGGTCAAGTGAATGGTGATATACGGGGTAGCTGTGTTTATTCCTGTAGCTATGCAAAATACGTTACTTTAGTAGCGCATGGCGCTAGCCAGGGTCCACACCGCTTTATTTCGTGACCAAAAAATCTAGGTGCGGCGTGTACTCCGAACAATACGGTAGATATCGTGATAAGCAGAATCATGCCAGTCTGTACCGGGCCATAAACGTGCACTTTGCCACTCAGCTGGCTCCCATACGGGGATTTGACCTCACTGTATAACCTCTATAAGCAGAACCGTGCCACAGACTGTACCTTGGCTTGGGCTTGGATGCCACCTTGTCGTGCGAGAGCGAGCGTTGCCGAGCCTCCGTGAAGATGGAGCCGGTGGCTGGCATCTCGTACGGTATGTCATCGTGTGCCTGCTGGCGGAGGAAGGCACGCACTAGGTCATTGTGGTGGATTTTCTTTGGCAGCTCAAACAGCTCCTGGACACGAGTCAAGCAAGAGTACAACGACCAAAGTTATTTATCAAAATAATGTTCTCGGACAACTTGCACAGTTGCGCTCGGTGAAATCCGACCCAAAGTGCATATATGGTGCCCTCAACTTGTCGGCCCTTGATGCGCAGGAAGTAGTGCGGATGCGCAGGAAGTAGTGCGGATGCGCAGGAAGTAGTGCGGATGCGCAGGAAGTAGTGCGGATGCGCAGGAAGTAGTGCGGATGCGCAGGAAGTAGTGCGGATGCGCAGGAAGTAGTGCGGATGCGCAGGAAGTAGTGCGGATGCGCAGGAAGTAGTGCGGATGCGCAGGAAGTAGTGCGGATGCGCAGGAAGTAGTGCGGATGCGCAGGAAGTAGTGCGGATGCGCAGGAAGTAGTGCGGATGCGCAGGAAGTAGTGCGGATGCGCAGGAAGTAGTGCGGATGCGCAGGAAGTAGTGCGGATGCGCAGGAAGTAGTGCGGATGCGCAGGAAGTAGTGCGGATGCGCAGGAAGTAGTGCGGATGCGCAGGAAGTAGTGCGGATGCGCAGGAAGTAGTGCGGATGCGCAGGAAGTAGTGCGGATGCGCAGGAAGTAGTGCGGATGCGCAGGAAGTAGTGCGGATGCGCAGGAAGTAGTGCGGATGCGCAGGAAGTAGTGCGGATGCGCAGGAAGTAGTGCGGATGCGCAGGAAGTAGTGCGGATGCGCAGGAAGTAGTGCGGATGCGCAGGAAGTAGTGCGGATGCGCAGGAAGTAGTGCGGATGCGCAGGAAGTAGTGCGGATGCGCAGGAAGTAGTGCGGATGCGCAGGAAGTAGTGCGGATGCGCAGGAAGTAGTGCGGATGCGCAGGAAGTAGTGCGGATGCGCAGGAAGTAGTGCGGATGCGCAGGAAGTAGTGCGGATGCGCAGGAAGTAGTGCGGATGCGCAGGAAGTAGTGCGGATGCGCAGGAAGTAGTGCGGATGCGCAGGAAGTAGTGCGGATGCGCAGGAAGTAGTGCGGATGCGCAGGAAGTAGTGCGGATGCGCAGGAAGTAGTGCGGATGCGCAGGAAGTAGTGCGGATGCGCAGGAAGTAGTGCGGATGCGCAGGAAGTAGTGCGGATGCGCAGGAAGTAGTGCGGATGCGCAGGAAGTAGTGCGGATGCGCAGGAAGTAGTGCGGATGCGGCTGGACGTACACATGTACACTGATGTAATCGGAACTGGTCCAGGGCGTCAGTTTGTCTCTCTCTCTCTCTGTCTCTCTCTCTCTCTCTCTCTCTCTCTCTCTCTCTCTCTCTCTCCCTCTCCCTCTCTCTCCCTCTCCCTCTCCCTCTCCTTCTCCTTCTCCCTCTCTCTCTCTATCTCTCTCTATCTCTCTCTATCTCTCTCTCTCTCTCTCCTTCTCTCTCCTTCTCTCTCCTTCTCTCTCCTTCTCTCTCCTTCTCTCTCCTTCTCTCTCTCTCTCTCTCTCTCTCTCTCTCTCTCTCTCTCTCTCTCTCTCTCTCTCTCTCTCTCTCTCTCTCTCTCTCTCTCTCTCTCTCTCTCTCTCTCTCTCTCTCTGTCTGCCTGTCTGTCTGTCTGTCTCTCCCTACGCTCCCCTCGCCTCCGCGACAGAAAGGAAAACAAAATTGTTGTCTTGTGTCAGATGGATGCTCTCCAGAATGCATATACACGCACGCAGGCGCGCGCGCACACACACACACACACACATCCTGTCCTGCACACACACACACACACACACACACACACACACACACACACACACACACACACACACACATGGGCACACACACACACACACACATGGGCAAAAACAGACGGACAGCCAGCAGAGATGGATGTCTTACCCGCAGGTATGAAATCAGGTGCGGAGCGCGCTCCTCAGCAACAGACCTAACCGAACTGCGACCACCGTATTTCTTAGCTGTGACAACAAGAGAACGTTAATACAACCAAGGTTAGAATCAAGGGTATCAACACTGCAGCAAGTCCTATCATACATTATGTGTACTCCGGTGAATCAGCTGTACTGACATTAAAAGTGTTCGTGGAGACAGAAAAGCACGTACACATGCACGCACAGACACCCACACCCACACAGACCCCCCACAGACAGACAGACCAACAGACAGACAGACCGACAGTCATACGTTTAGAAAAGAACAAACTGCAGGCTCCTGGCACCCAACATTTTCGGGCAAAAATTCCAGCAATATACTCGCACGCCCTCTAGTCAGGTGGAATGCAGGCAAAATGAAAAGGAACAAGAGCATTTTCCTCGGAGACAAGACTGCGATAATACTGAGAGGAAGGATATACTTCAGGCTCTTGAACAACATCTCGAAAGTTTTCACAAGGTTAGTTATGCTTTCAAGCCTTATCGTCAGGTGAAATATAGGGAAAGTGAAATGAACAAGGACAGTGGATTAAATACAGTAGAGAGGTGATAGAAACAGCGCAAGGAAGGAGAGATAAACAACAGCGATGAATGCATAACCCATACACACAGAAAGAAGGGGGGGGGGGGAACGTGCAAGTGCGAAGAGACCTAACAAGCCGCAGTGTATTCAGATGATTGTGTTTCTGTTTTTGTCACGTGTACGCAGTGCAAAAGTTGTTGAATGTTTTCGAAGCTGTGTATATTCACACTAAGAAACCTAACTTATGTAAACAGAAGCAGAATAAATTGACACCCTACATGTGCATGTAGGCTGTTAGGTAGGTCGTCAACAAGTCGTTAGTGATGTCCATTTGGTGTCTGTTTTGTTTTTAGTCGCACCACACTTCACGCTTGTTTGGTCTTCTCACACTTCTGGTTTTACAGCGAACACATGACAGTCCACTCAGGTGCGGATCCAGGAGGGGTGCCAGGGGTTCCGCGGCACCCCCTAAATTTCGTAAATGTGCTACTGGTACCGGCCACCATATGCCTGTCCATGTACATGTATCAGCTATTCAGTTTTGACTGGAACCCCCCTGTACAGATTGCTGGATCCGCCGCTGCCACTACCGTTAAGTCAGGCAGTAAAGCCCTGGCTGGGGACAGTGTTGCACGACTCATTGTGAGGGTGTGAGGGTGTGACTTACGACATCACATCTACTGCACACATACGGTCCTGGCCGCAGAAATCCAGCCTCAGAAATATAGTACAGGGATGAATTTACGGTCACGCTTTTGCATAGCAGTTTTTGCCATGCAAAATCTCAATTGTGGCGTAAGCTACAAAAAGCATGGATAGCATGTACATGTATGTATCGCAGTTTTCTGCGTGTCACTGTGATTTTTGAGTAGCAGTAGATCGATTTTGCGTAGCAAACTGCGATGCGATACAGGATAAATTCATCCCTGTAGTAGCGCCGTGCCGCGTTCTAGTGCACAGACCAGCATGTGTAGTGCTAGGGCTGCGTAGCGCCCGGCAATGCTATTTTATTCATGAGGTTAGATTTCTCTGGCCAGGACTACACATGTATATACACATGTACACAAGAACAAGAGCAGCGCGAGGACGGGCATGTAGTGCTGCAACTTTTAAAACAGGTTTCACGCAATACGCAATCATCGGGCAACGGAGGCAGATATCGGGCTAACCCATGCTCATATAGCATGATCCAGGGGCGTCGGAAGGTATTCTAGTGTGGTACGGTCATCCACCAGAAGTAAAATTTACTCAGGTGGGGTTGGGGTGGCTTCTCTGAAATTTTTCGAAATTCAGAGCCCAAATCAGTGCTTTTCATTGATTCACGGGTTGGTAGCTGGGGCAGAGAGTGGTAAGGTCAATACCATAGTGACCGTAGCGTGTCCGACGCCCCATGTCACATTGTGTACTGCGCAGTGTGAATAAGTACATGTAGTATGCAAGGGTGTGAGGGCACTGTTCTTGTTCTTGTGCAAAACGCTCTTCTGCTATAGACATTGAGCACAGTGCAGAGATGAGGAATTTCGAAGCCTACACAAGTGCATGCTGTCCAAACTGAATCGGTGTGTGTGTGTGGCTTATCATGAGTGCATCAGTTAAAACTTAGAAATGAGTCATTGTCAATTATCACTACTTCAAAAGTAGATAGTGGCAGTGATGACAACATAGGAAAGGTGTTTGCTCCGCACACCGGAGCTCACGCTCACGTGTAAAGTCAAGTTGGCGGGAAAGTGCGAGCTCCGGCGTGGGGAGCAAACGCCTTTCCTATGTGAGTCAATACCAGGGATGTTCCGCAATGCGAAAGTTCGAACTTTTGGTGGCGGTGATATCTTGCAAAAATATATTTCTAAAAAGGAAACCTGTCAGTTTTGGCAACGCAAAATGACTTTTTCTCAAAGTTTTTTGAATTTTATAATTATAGTACCGTGCCGTATATGCAGCTCAGTTTCAACCAGGGGGCTGTAAATTTACTACTCCCTGCAGTCAAGTGTGTACCAAAGAGAAAGTTACTTTCGCAAATCACTGGAACTTCGCGTCCAAGTTTTCGAAGTTTCGAGCTTTGTTTCTGTACTCATTCCCAGACTCGAACTTTCTTTCGAACTTTTGCGCTGCTAAACGTCCCTAGTTATCACAAAATGATAGAGTGTACTTACGTGGCAGATAGGGCAGTGTGCGATCATGCATGTTAATACTGCCGGCTTCGATGGGGAACTTATCCTCCAGGTTGTCCTGCAGTGTGTTGAATGCACTGTAGCGCCGGAAGACAAAGTACTGCGTGTTGTCCAGCGTCGTAACTTCTATAACATACAGCTACAACAAAAAAACACAAATATAACGCGTCGCGCGAGACTCAGCTGGAGGCCACGTTTTCCGTATCCGTAGAAACACCACCACCCTCTAGTCTATATATCAACAAGACCAGTATAAATAGGATGGGAGATAATAGCGAAGCTTGGACCCCCGCCTGCCCGCTCCCTCCCTCTCCTCGCACACAACACGACTCGATGTTCGTAAACATATGCCTATGGGCAGGCCAATGCCCCCCCCCCCCCCACATACACACACACACGCTCACGCATGCACACACACGCACACACACACACACACACACACACAGATACACACACACACATAATAATAATAATAATAATAATAATTTTACAAGAAGTCGGAGGCGGATAATACTTTAATAACGAAGGTACGTGTTGGGTCGTAAGTATCCACGCAAACACACATCCAGTCAAAATAAGGCACTTATCAAAAACGTTTTCGGTCCCTTCTCATCAAGGATTATACAGGGAATGGCTCAAGTTGGAAAGACTAAAACTTATATAACGTAAAGATATGAGATAACAACACTCGTGACAAGGTGGAAAAAGTATCAAGTTCAGCACGACACAAAACTCGAAGGAAATAATAATAGCGACAAGAACATAGTGAGCAAATTAAGTTACATTGTTAACACCTCGACGAGGAGTAACACCAAACAATTGTAGCGACAACACATTTTCTTTCTGTACGCAAAGTTCAGGATCTAACTTACGGATATACAAAGCTTCTAACACAGCCAGATGCAACGCACATCTACCACGTGACAATATTGAGAACACATTATCACTGTACAACTCACGACAATTGGTACGGGCTGACAGATGTTGCTTGGTGGACGAAGTGCGATTCTTAGCTCCGTTGGGTGTTGTCTCCTCCAATGTCCCGTCATCTCGCCTCTTCGCGGCATCACCACTACCCGTCTCTTTGCTTTTCCGCGGCCTTCCACTTTTCCGCGGCCTTTTCCGCGGCAGGGTCCAGCTGAGAACAGCGTGAAAGATGGTGAAAGACCGACATGTAAACCACCGAAATTGACAAAGGATCTGTCTGCGTCGGGAAGGGTTACGCGAAGCCAAGTAAAAATACGGACTGGTGAGGACGCACGTACAACGACAACGGAAGTGACAACAACAGTCAATATTCGAAAACTTGGTAGACCGCGAAAACGAACTTCAATATCGAACACCGGACAAGTTGGAGTAAGAAGATCAATAGAAATCCGCAATGGAGGAGACGTAGCTGAAAGGACACTGGGCATCGCGCACACAACGGCTAGTGTCAGAAAACGTGGAAGGCCGCGGAAAAGCAAAGAGACGGGTAGTGGTGATGCCGCGAAGAGGCGAGATGACGGGACATTGGAGGAGACTACACCCAACGGAGCTAAGAATCGCACTTCGTCCATCAAGCAACATCTGTCAGCCCGTACCAATTGTCGTGAGTTGTACAGTGATAATGTGTTCTCAATATTGTCACGTGGTAGATGTGCGTTGCATCTGGCTGTGTTAGAAGCTTTGTATATCCGTAAGTTAGATCCTGAACTTTGCGTACAGAAAGAAAATGTGTTGTCGCTACAATTGTTTGGTGTTACTCCTCGTCGAGGTGTTAACAATGTAACTTAATTTGCTCACTATGTTCTTGTCGCTATTATTATTTCCTTCGAGTTTTGTGTCGTGCTGAACTTGATACTTTTTCCACCTTATCACGAGTGTTGTTATCTCATATCTTTACGTTATATAAGTTTTAGTCTTTCCAACTTGAGCCATTCCCTGTATAATCCTTGATGAGAAGGGACCGAAAACGTTTTTGATAAGTGCCTTATTTTGACTGGATGTGTGTTTGCGTGGATACTTACGACCCAACACGTACCTTCGTTATTAAAATAATAATAATAATAATAATAATTTGGAAAGGATTGGGAGAACTTCATATTCAAAGGATCAGTCGGGGAAGTGAACTGCCTGAAAAGAGAAAAAAACGCCAGACCCACTGATCCTTTGAATATGAAGTTCTCCCAATCCTTTCCAAATTTAATCACTTTCTTTCACCTCTGGTAGTTTCCAGAAACTGACCGTGGTTGGTCCCCTGGGGGAGGGAAAAAGACCCAAGTGCCATCAGTATGTGTGGCACGTGTTGTGAGCTGCCTTTGGAGTGAAAAACTTGTCAGCGCCTTCTAGGTTCAGCCTGGTCCCATAGCTCAGTGGTTAGAGCATTGCTCATGACAAGCAGGGTCCCAGGTTCGAGTCCTGGTGGGTCTGGCGTTTTTTTCTCTTTTCAGGCAGTTCACTTCCCCGACTGATCCTTTGAATAATAATAATAATAATAATAATAATAATAATAATAATAAATCGCTGGCTACAAGCGAGGGTCCCTGGTTCGCGTCCTGGTGGTGGCAGTCAATTTTTTCTTCAGACTTTTCCCGTTTGTCTCTTTCCCTCAAACCAGTTAATATTTTATGACTTGGGGCTCCCCGCGTGCTAGTTTGTACGTGAAGTGTGTGGGTTACAGTGAGGGCTGCGTCCCACCCGCCTGTGTGGATTCACAGGAAGTGTGAGTTACGAAGTCTGAAGAAAATGTTGAACGGCCTCTGCTGGGATGACGACTACACCATAGCTCAGTGGTTAGAGCATCGCTGGCTACAAGCGAGGGTCCCTGGTTCGAGTCCTGGTGGTGGCAGTCAATTTTTTCTTCAGACTTTTCCCGTTTGTCTCTTTCCCTCAAACCAGTTAATATTTTATGACTTGGGGCTCCCCGCGTGCTAGTTTGTACGTGAAGTGTGTGGGTTACAGTGAGGGCTGCGTCCCACCCGCCTGTGTGGATTCACAGGAAGTGTGAGTTACGAAGTCTGAAGAAAATGTTGAACGGCCTCTGCTGGGATGACGACTACACCATAGCTCAGTGGTTAGAGCATCGCTGGCTACAAGCGAGGGTCCCTGGTTCGAGTCCTGGTGGTGGCAGTCAATTTTTTCTTCAGACTTTTCCCGTTTGTCTCTTTCCCTCAAACCAGTTAATATTTTATGACTTGGGGCTCCCCGCATGCTAGTTTGTACGTGAAGTGTGTGGGTTACAGTGAGGGCTGCGTCCCACCCGCCTGTGTGGATTCACAGGAAGTGTGAGTTACGAAGTCTGAAGAAAATGTTGAACGGCCTCTGCTGGGATGACGACTACACCATAGCTCAGTGGTTAGAGCATCGCTGGCTACAAGCGAGGGTCCCTGGTTCGAGTCCTGGTGGTGGCAGTCAATTTTTTCTTCAGACTTTTCCCGTTTGTCTCTTTCCCTCAAACCAGTTAATATTTTATGACTTGGGGCTCCCCGCGTGCTAGTTTGTACGTGAAGTGTGTGGGTTACAGTGAGGGCTGCGTCCCACCCGCCTGTGTGGATTCACAGGAAGTGTGAGTTACGAAGTCTGAAGAAAATGTTGAACGGCCTCTGCTGGGATGACGACTACACCATAGCTCAGTGGTTAGAGCATCGCTGGCTACAAGCGAGGGTCCCTGGCTCGAGTCCTGGTGGTGGCAGTCAATTTTTTCTTCAGACTTTTCCCGTTTGTCTCTTTCCCTCAAACCAGTTAATAATAATAATAATAATAATAGTTACAGTTCGCATGTCACTCATGGAAGGATCCATGGGCTTAACGCATCTGTCAACGAAATCCAGGCAGAAGAGCCGACAAAAGGCATCTCATTATTGCACACACACACACATACACAGATACAAACCAATAACTTACGTAATACTTGTTGACTGTACCCCGATGCTTGACCAGGTCGATTACTGTAGCCATTTTCGGGTACATGGGGTCCTCGGTCCTACGAAAAATGGTACACAAAACCAAAAACACCGTAAAATCCAGGGCACCCAAGGCTTTTAGGCGTTTAGCTAAGCAACATGCAGTAACACTTGTAACTAAAGACCACCCCTTGGTGCCAGCAAAAGCGGTCTTTAGTGGTAGGTGGTCCTTAGTTAGAGGTTTGCACCGCGCGACCATAATTATACACTGTATGGATCTCAGTATTATAATAATGTACAGTCAACTTCGCTTATAACGACACTCGGCGGGGCATCAGAAAAGTGTCGTTACTCGCGAAGTGTCGTTATACCCGAAGTCTCATTATATGTGTCACAGTTGGATGGGACTTTGCTCTGGGCATGAGAATTATGTCGTTATTCGCGAATTGTCGTTATATCCGCAGTCGTTATTAGCGAAGTTGACTGTTTGTCAAAAATGCAGCTACGTGCACACGTAGACTGGCACTGCCCCTGGTTTCAGAACGTGCTCTCTCTCCTTCGGACATGCAGACTGCTCTTATTGGAGACTGCTTATACTAGAGAAGACATGGCATAATCTATATTGGGTTGATCTGAGGCAAAGCAGTTAGAGTTCACCAAAGCATACACACAGGTCATCTAGAAACAGATGAGAGACTACCGGGCTTTGCAAGCCGGATTTTCGTCGAAATTTAAGCTCAAAACCAGAATTTAAAATCGACCGGGGAAGGGATGTTTGGATCTGCCATTCCGAACACTGGGCAACGCAAAAGCCTGTCCAGATGTCCATAAAAGTTTACAAACCAGCCCATAATTCTTGAAACCCGGCCGGAAATTCGTCTCCGCTATCCTTGATGCCTTGGATCCCAAATCTTGATAGGAAGAAGTGGATGGCCATTATGAAGAGGTTTGCCGGAAAACACGGCAGAAAGTACAAGATTTTCATGTTTTTTTGTTGAAAATCACACGACCTGCAGTTTCTCTACTGTTTACCGACGGTACTACACAAGGCGTTGGAGGAAAATGCTGGAAAATTGGCACATTCTGCTCGTAAAGCAACAAAAAAAAACTGGCAGTATCATACATAACTTATGGCGGGGAATTCCCCGAATTCTGCTCCTCTCCCAGGCTTTACCTAAACTTAAGTAAACATGCGTGAAACATACTACAGGCACGGGTGGCAACTGAACTGTCCGTACATGGAAAACGGTCGTTAAGACCAGGCGGTCGCTAAACCCAGAGGTCGCTTACACCAGGTTTTACTGCACAGGCACGGATGGCAACTGAACTGATCCGACTCCCTGCAGCTATCCGTGTTGGAGTACAGCACCGAATCATTGTAGCAGTCCCTATCTATGTCTGGTTACAACACGTGCTTGCTGCGGTTTCGCAACGTGCGCACACTGCAACAGGAGTGTAAATCAGGGGCGTCGGAAGGTATTTTAGTGTGGTGCGGTCAGCCATCTGAAGTACAACTTACTCGTGGGGGGGGGGGGGGGGGGTGCCGAGCCGAACATTTTGGAAATTTAGAGCCCAGATCAGTGTGTTTTACTGATTTACGGGGTACTTCTACCTGGGTCAAAAAGTGGTACGGTCAATACCGTAGTGACCGTACCGGTATACCGTGTCCGACGCCCCTGGTATAAATTGTATCTGAGAGATACTGGTTGCCTTTGTACACACTACAGTTACTGACTCGGAGGGATGCCGGTGTGCTGCTTGCTATGCCGGGCACGGCGATCGTAAAGCTGGACAGTCCGCAGTACATTGTACCGCTGTGAAGCCACCTTCATAGCACTGAATTTATTGCATAGAGGCCTTTTCTATGTACATTTCGTATTTCGTATCTTCTCAGTTCTATCAAGAGTACACGTGTACTACAGGGTCATGGGGGTTATGCACTCTAGTACTCTTGGTTCTATGTGGATGTTCCCATCTCAAAATCCCGTACGAAAATCATGAAAATCATGGATTTAAAATTCGAAGTTCAAAATGAAAATTGCTTACTCTTTTCTCAAGGTCGGCGGAGGCATCTTGACCGGTGCGGGGAGTGGTAGTTATTTAGGGCACCGGATGACACTGGCTGCTGCAGCTTTGGTCGGCGTCGGCACAGCTGCCCAGTTTCTTCGCCCCGAATCGTTTCACGGCCCAGAGAAATCCATTCAGGATCAGGGAGCCCGGAACTATCACTCAGTCCTGCGAGTCAAACACAGGTACGTGACCCGTTCAAACAAGCTCTGGTATTATGGAAAAATACGAACGTCCGTTACATGTCCTCACTTGAAAACTAACTTAGCCCGCCACCCGGCTGAGCTGTAAAAGCTGCTGTTTAGAGAATAATTATTTTACAACTAGCACAGGGCAGCAGCTGAGACTTCGGTTGTGAAACAACTCCGCATCTGTAAAACATACCTGTACAAAATGTACAAGTAAATGCGTGCACTCTGGCCAGGGCAGCTGCCTGCGAGTTGTGACACCGAACGTGACGTCTGGAAAACTGCTGCGTGTTCGAGCATGCACGCAGCTCAGACTTCGTCCTGCCCCCGGAGGCCAAACCATGTAGGCCTTGGGCATTCATCATGCATTGTGTTGTGCTGACCCAGAGCTGTCAAACACCATTTTGGCAGTCATTTCCACAAATAGCTACAATTTCGAAATGGGGCGTTTGCTATCCGATCACTTTTAAAAAAATTAGATGAGAAGACAGAGCAATATTCCGAAACAAATTCTCAAAATTCTCCAGCCAAATTTGAAATAATTATTTCAAAAATACCATGCGTCTATACAGGTCGTCCCCCGTTAATACGAGTCCGGTTAGTACATAAACCCCGTTAGTACATAAGAAATCTCAAGTCCCGGACGAAACGTGGTCACTTCCATACAAATTTTGTCGGTTAGGGGTCGTCCATAAATATCGAACTTTTCTCACAAAACGAAATAATTTCGTTATGGGGTGGGAGGATGGGGTTGACCAATTTCGTTTCAGAAAACATTGATTCAAGTACATGGCCGTTTTATATGTATGCATGTCAACATTTTTTACGTTCTGAGGGGGAGGGAGGGAGGGGTTGGGTCTAAACTAAAATAATTCGTTTGGTGAAAAAAGTTCGATATTCACGGACGACTCCTTAGTACATAATTCGTTAGTACATAACCCCCGTTAGTACATAACATTTCTCCGTACCCGCATGCCACCTACCTCAATAGTACATAATTTGTTGGTCTTTTTGCCTTCCAGTGGAGGCACATCGTGTTCTAGTTTCTACTTGTGGACAGAAATCAGAGCGCACATCACGAACCGGCAAATCTCTGTTTTTTTCCGAGTGACTGTACAGGCGCTGGGCTAGGCGCGGCTGGGCATGTATCATGTAAACTGTAGAATTGTCGCTGACTGTGACTGTTATAACATAATTTTTATGTTATATCGAGGGAATCAAGATTATCTCGCTCTCTAGTCATGGTAGCAAGAAACACTCAGAAAAGTTGAAAAAAGTGAAAAATTCTGGTACACAAGCAAGTTATGTACACTTTCGTTTAGTACATAAACCCTGTTAATACATAACATTTGTCAAGTCCCAGAGATTATGTATTAACGAGGGACGACCTGTATTTTGAAATGGACTGTAGCTAGCTAGCTACACTGTGCTAGAATTAGACAAATAATTGTACAAGCTGCTGCGTTTGTCACGCCGAATGCCGTGTTCACACCATGCACCAGGGAGTCGTCAAATCCATGGTACAGTCTGTATCGGCTATAGCGTACCCTTTTGATTTCCGTGATTTTATCACTATAACCGATGCATCACTATATGCGATACGATCGATTTTTTTCGATCGACACATGAAAGGCAAGGAAATACTTCCTGCATGGCGTTTTGACAAAATAAGCATGCTGCATAGTTGACAGTGCCCGCATTTCCATACAAAACATTCTGTTATGTACATGTACATGTGTCACTATAAAAATAAGCAACGTGAAGAAAGTAATAAAAATAAGGCCTTTGATATTATTGCTACATGTATTTTAAAGTTATCACTATAGCCGATAATAATATAGTGTGTTATGGATGTTTTGATTCTTTGTTGCCATCATAATATCCGATATATCATTACATCCGATAATATTGGTTATAGTGATATTTGTACTGGATAAAATACGTTTTGCTTTTGATATTTCGTACCAATATCACTGTAGCCGATATATTCTTATGTCCGGTCACTCTATAGCCGATACAGACTGTACAGTGTATTTGGAAAGAATCTACGTGTAAACTCAAAGCAAGTCTTTTTCTCTGGTTGCAGTCCAAAACACTATTTTCAATACAGTGTGCCCCCCCCCCCCCCCCCCGCGTGGTGCCTTGTGATGTTTTGTATACTAGTAGTCTACACCACCTCCACAGTGCACTGCACTGCCGTCTGAAACGTGATCCCCTTTGTAGAGTCCACACCTACATATAGCTCAGTGCACTGCACTACCCTCTGAAACGTGATCCCCCTTTGTAGATCTACATGACTTGTGTTCAATTGCCATGTACATGCATGTGCACGCTCACGCGTACGCACACACACACACCATGTACCATGTACATGCCCGTCGCAAGAGAAGCACGCAAATCTGGAAATGCACTGGATGTGCACCCACAGATTCACACACACACACGCACACACACACACACACGTACGTACGGGCACATGCGTAAGCACACACAGACCCGTACACACCACCGGCATCACACACAAACACAGCACGCAAACAGGCCATGTTGCTTCAGGCTAAGGTTCGGTATAGCCACATCAATATGGAGAAGAAAAAAAACAGCGGAACAACGAATAAAGAATTTGAGATTTGGGCACAAAACAGTCAGCATGCACAAAACAGTCAGCATACAGAAACTCCAATACAATGCGAAAGTCCACATATCATAAGTACTACTGTCTTATTCAATTTGAGATTCGGGTACACAGTCGTCAGTGTACAGAAGATCACATACAGCGCGAACGTCTACATAAGTGCTACTTGTTCGTATCGATTCTAAAAGAACGCCTACGTCTGTACATATACATTGGGATCATTTTCCTGCTTAGACAAACCAACACTATTGCAGCCTGCGTGATGATAGTTAAAAAGCAAGAATGCAACGACGTCAACATGGCGCACAACAATGTGAAAAAGGGGTCGAAAGAAATAAAGACGCCATCTATCTCTTGTCTCTTTCACATTTTCTCTTAGATTTCATTCGAGTAACACATAGAATTGTCTCTGATCACACGACCCATGCCAATAAGAACAAGACAATAAACACAGCGAGTAAATGAACAGAACGGGCATGATGACGCTTCCACGTGCGATAGCAAGCCGGTACTCAGCTTCCAGAACAGGAAAGCGAAAGCAGTCGTAGTCGGCGCGCAACATGAAGGGCACGGCTCTAGCTGGTGGTGGTGGTGGCGGTACTAGTCCGTCTGTTCAGGACTCACAGCGCGGAGAGAACGCACCACAAGTAACACCGCACACACGGCGGCATAGCCGGGCACCAATCACGGCGTCTTCTTTATCTCAAAGGCAAAGACGGTTCGCGGCGTAGTAGCAGGGAGCGCTTGAGTAAAAAAAAAAAAAAATGCGGCTTGCATCTCATGCTCCCATATGCAACGCATAGACATTGTATGATGGTTCAAGATTACGGCAGAGCAATGGGGTGGGGGAATCACATGCATACTATTTCATTGCGCAGAGTGGTGGGGGGAATATTTCCTAAAAAAATTAATACGGCACGCTCGAATGAATAATTCCATTTTGTGGTTTCTATGGCTACATCGTGCTATGCTGGAGTAGGGGTTCTCGTGGTGACGGTGAGAGAGGTGTTGCCACGGCGATGATGATGCAAATGCTGGGTTAGGTTTTGTTATGACGTCGTTGCATTGGGTACGAGTGCACCACGTAATCGCTGCCATCCTTGCTGCTCACGGGACAGAGGGGAAAAAAGGAGAAGAACGGGCACACACATACATGTACATGCACACGTATACAAGCGCACACACGGGCATGCACGCACATGCATGTACACACACGCGCGCGCGCACACACAAACACACACACACATGCGCACAGTCTTGTGTAAATAACGCATTCCAATCCAAAGGACAATACATGTACATGTTCACAGGCAACACCTGGACATAAGCAGCAAGCCATCTGTAAACAACTTGTACTACTATTACCAGTAACTGTAATCCATAGAGATCCATTTCACAACTTATTCCGTTATCGATCAATACAATACATGAAGACATTGTATAGAGAATGCCGTTTGCAGAATGCATGCCAATACACCACACGCATTGTACGGTACACTGCTTCGTTACATGTCTGTTATCAACTTATCACGTTATTCGTCTTTACTGACACAGCAGAAGATGAGTCACAGAATCGGAACAACGCTTCAAGCAGCTTCACTGTAACAACAAATCGGTATCTGGCATCACTGGCCAACACTCAGTTGCTCTGCTATAGCAGATTGCACAGATCAGGGCCGAGGGCCGAGGCAACTCAGATCAGTGGTCGTGCAATGCTAGACCAACAGAGCAGCTGGAAAACACAAAACACTTCCACCAAGATGTGACAAGCCTTCAGTGTGAAGGCATTACGCATGCTTCCTACAGTTGCGCTTGGTGAAACCCGACCTCAAGTGGAAATCTGGCTCCCTCAACTTGCATGGCCTTTGACGCACACATGTACTAGTACAGTGATGTAATCGGAACTGGTCCAGGGCACCAGTTTTACACATTAGGTCGGATTTCAGTGAGCGCAACTGTAGCTACACACGTGTGTGTCAAGTTAGTGTCAGTGTCTGTGAACAGAGGGGAAATCTCACCAGGCAGTGTTTACGGGTCAGACGATTACCTGTTGCTATTGGTTACCAGCCTTTATCTCTGTAAATAATATGCATGTGTGTCAAGAGCAAATGCACATACGCACATACACACGCACACGTGCAAGCGTACACATCGTCAAGAAACAAGAAATGCACAAATAATTTACCTGCTCACACTCACGCGCACACACACACACACACACACACACACACACACACACACACACACACACACACACACACCACACACCTGCTGACCATGCTTCCACAACAAACTAAAATCCGCACGTTTTTCTGCCCGGTCATCAATAATGAGACAGGCGTTAGTTTAAGGAGGAGGGTATTCGCATGCACATGAACATACGTGCCCACATGGACACACAGGCACACACAATGCACGAGGGCACGTCTAAAACGGCATGCCATATGCATTGCACGCAGTTAGACAAAAAACATACATGTAGTGCATAATGCGTTAGAGACTCCATTCATAATACCATCAAACATCCACCCGGAATGCCCATCAACCCACAGCAAGGTACATCCACCCGGAATGCCCATCAACCCACAGCAAGGTACTGATATTCATCTATCAACTCCAGTCATTGGAAAACGCGTATAGTTAGAGCAGGAAAATCGATTAAGAGATTCAATACCGAGGAAGGGGCACACACACACACACGCCCACATTCACACACACACACACACACACACACACACACACACATACGCAGGGGCACGCGTGTACACACACACGCACATACAAGCATGCAAACACACACGGACAGACAGACAGGGAGACAGGCAGATACACACACATGCACACATGCACACACACACACACACACACACACACACACACACACACACACACACACACAGGGTCAAGAGTCTTACTCGTCCTTGAGCCTAGTCCAGTAGAGTTGCGAGGCCACAATGAACATCACCAGCATCACGCCCAGGACAAAGCAGCCGGAAAACGTGAATACTGCTCCATCGCTGCACAACACACAGTGACGAAGAAGATGACAACAAACAACGGGTTAAAGCAAAACAAGACAAGACCAGCACTGTCCACAAGATCAAACAACACGCACACGTTGTGTAGGACATGGGAAACAGGTATACAGAGTACTGCAGGCTATGTGCTAACACAAAACACAACACTGTAAAAGCAGAAATTTTCGGTGGTGTAATATTTTCGGTATTCTCCAAAATCGGCGGTTCGGTGGAGGGAAATTTTCGGTAAACCCGCGTTCCAGGTAAGTGTACTAGTACTATACCGACATCTTCGGTGCGTTTTATTTTTGGACAAATTTCGGCACCGAAGTTACCGAAAATAAAACACCACCGGAAAGTTCTTTCCTTTTACAGTAGTCTTACAGTGTTTTCTTGCAGGCTGACGTCAGAAGATCATTGTAGTCCTGGAGCAGCAGCAGCAGCGCAAATACATACGTACACACATACATGCACATGTACACACACACACACACACACACACACACACACACACACACACACACAGGGCGCGCATGCACCCGGACACACACGCACAGGGCATGCACACACATACACACAGCACACACACGCACACACAAACACACGCGCACACACACAAACACACACGCGCACACAAACACACACAAACACACACGCGCGCACACACACATGCACACACAGAGAATAGGCCGTGGGAGGAAATAACGTTACATCTGGACACTGGGAATGGCTGGTGTACGGCAGTATTTCAATACCAATTGTTCCTGCCATACAGACAATCGTTTCTGAGAGTGTTGAGGCGGCGGCATTGGACCGGGAGTAGTAGATAGAAAGGACGGATACCAACACACCGTTGTCATGTTTGTTCTTACGTGCCAACAAAACACATCTTTGCCACGGTGGAGGATTGGAATACAACTCACATACTGAAAACAATTGCATGAAAGCCTTTGAAAGGTAGAATGTGGCAAGGAATGAGGACCCTACTCAAATACAACACAATTATGCGAAGTGAGTAGTGAGAGTTCTTACGTTGTTGAGGTTAGTGCAGTTGATGTCCTGGTTGAAGAGGTTCACCAGGATGACGTCCACACCGCTAAGACTGTACTGGAGTTCAGTAAGTGTTGTCTGCACAGCGCAGGACGGAGGGAGAGATAGAGAGATAGAGATGCATAGATAGAGAGAGATGAAGAGAGTAAGTTACATTCATAAAGACAGGTAAGTCTAACAAACGAAAACTGAGACCTCTACAACAGGGTTTTTTTTACGCCCGAACGCAGATGCATGAGAGAGAGAGAGAGACGAAAAGAGAGAAAAAAGATAGATATAGTAGAGAGAGAGCGAAACATGTGAGTTACAAGCGTGTTCATGCATGATTTTGAGAGATGAGGAGGAGGGGGGGGGGGGGGGGGGGCAGCAACAGTGATGCCAGCAAGGAGAGGTGGTGTAGGCAGCAGCAGCAGCGGGCATTTCGTCTGGTTTTCTTCCGTAGTGGTGATCGTAGATGTTGGCTTACCGAAGTTGTTTCATACAATTATTTTCTTCATTTGCGTTAACATCCTTCATCTTGGCAAATTGTGTTTTGTTGCCCGTAAAAGGGGCCTATCATCAGCAGTAGCGGCGGGGCTGACAACATCACACAGCTAGCAACATCTTACCAGGGCTTGATCAGTGGAGTTATCGGAAGTGAAATTGCGGTAAGCCTGAACGTCAGCAGTCAGGCTAGCAACCTGAACAATACTGCGATTCAGGTTGTCTCTCGCCGTGTTAAAGTCCTATGTGCACCAGAACATCCACAGAACAAGGCAAACGTACATCACTACCTGAAGTCCTGAATACACATGTCACATTAACTTAATGTGTACACATGTGCATACATGCACACTCACGCACGCACGCACACACACACAGACACACACAGACATGCACACATACATACACGCACACAGACACAGACACCCACACACACGCACACAAGTAAGTAAGTGAAGTGCGTGTTGCTCTCACATTTTCAAACGGATTGCTGCAGTTTCCACAGCGTGTGAAGTAGACCACTTGTTCTGCGATCAGGGTAGAGAACAAACAAACACAGAGCCACGTACGTACATGACTCTTAGCATACGAGTAATAAAACATGCCTGGGGGGGTCCCTGGGGACAGAAGATCAGATTTTTCACCCAACAGGGCACGTTTTAGTGTTCAACAGGCGCTCTGGGCGGACGGACCATCCTGGAGGAAAAGTGGTACACGACCATGGTCAGACTGGTCGTGCCGTGTGTGACGCCCCTGCCTTGCATTGGAATAGAAGCATTAGAGCTGTACATCGACATACCCGCATGACACTCGTGTACCACACGTGCATACAATTAGTACGGCTTCATGGTTCGAAGCGCAGTTCCAAGAAATGTCCAAACATCGGCGGCCTACATGGCAAGTCGCTGGATGCGTCCGGTAATTGTTTGTTTAAAATCTTGTAGGACGCATCACACAGCTTCATAAGTAAAAATTGGCTTGTGAGCAACACTGGCTCACACTCAATCACTGCTTTTCACAACAACAAAAAAGAAGAAGAAAAAAGGTCATTGTTTGGTTATATTTATTTCACTTCACCAAAATGTAGAGGCATAATGCAGTGTGCAGTGGTGTACTGACCTCGTGAGGAATTCGATACGGCCCGGTCGATATAGGCATCTGGATCAACGCAGAAGTCACCGCCAAGCTGCCAAGATATTACAGAGAGAAGAAATGAACAACACACATACATGTAGATTAGTGGGACTACAGGGTTTTACAAGACCTGAACATTCTCTCTCTCTCTCACTGTGCTTGTCAGTCAATTCCGTCTGTCTGTCTGTTATTCTGTCTATCTGCCAGTCTGTTTGTCAGTCTCTCTGTCTGTTTTCCGTCTGTTTGTCTGTCTGTATGTCCGTCTGTCTGTGTGCAACAGTGAACGCCTTGGCTGGACGTGTGATGTAGTACCATCGTATGGATATCAAGCCCTCTTACGGACCAATTGAAAGATTATCTGCAACGGTATCAGACTGGTTGGTTCGCAGTAGCATGGACAACGAGTATATCACTTTTTTATTTTTTTTTACTTACCACACCAACACCGATGAAGACACCGCCGTACAGCCATGCCACAATCAGTGCTATCAGCGTCAAGAAAACATTGCTGTACAGCGAACACGCACACACGTCCACACGTGTACACACACATGAATGCACACACACACATGTACACACACATGCATGTACACACACACACGCATGTATACACACACACACACACGCGCACACACACACGCACACACACACACACACACACACACACACACACACACACACATGAATGCAGACATGCACACGCAGACATGCACGCTCACATTCATACACTCATACACGCACGCACACACACACACACACACACACACACACACACACACACACACACACACACACACACACACACACACACACACACACACACACACACATGGAAACAGACACATGGAAACAGACACATAAAACATATGGAAACACATGCATAGTATTGAAAAGCAAAAAGCACACCAAGAAAAGAGCCGCTACTCTCGAGTTTCGTGCTAACGCACTTGCCAGGCATCTCCATGCATTACACATGCATACACCATTGTAATTCATACAGAACTCTTTCAGGAGCTGGCTGAATTTGGCTCAAAAACCTGATTGTATATGGACCAGAAAATGTTTCGGATCAGCACGTTGGCACATTCTTAAAAACACCCAAAATCTGCACACTCTGGCCGGAATTCCGGATAATTCTAATACAGTAAAACCTGTCTAAGCCGACCGCTCAAGGGACTTTCGAAATGTAGTCCCCGGGTACAGGTGGTCTCCTTATCCAGGGTCATTCAACTGGAAATCACATCGATTGGTCCTAGTTGAAGTGGTCCTCTAGGACAGGTGGTCTCCTTAGCCAGGGTCATTCAACTGGAAATCACATCGATTGGTCCTAGTTGAAGTGGTCCTCTAGGACAGGTGGTCTCCTTAGCCAGGGTCATTCTACTGGTTATAGTGGTCCTCTAGGACAGGTGGTCACCTTAGCCAGGGTCATTCCACTGGTTATAGTGGTCCTCTAGCACAGGTGGTCGCCTTAGCCAGGGTCATTCTACTGGTCATAGTGGTCCTCTAGGACAGGTGGTCACCTTAGCCAGGGTCATTCTACTGGTTATAGTGGTCCTCTAGGACAGGTGGTCGCCTTAGCCAGGGTCATTCTACTGGTTGTAGTGGTCCTCTAGGACAGGTGGTCGCCTTAGCCAGGGTCATTCTACTGGTTAAAGTGGTCCTCTAGGACAGGTGGTCGCCTTAGCCAGGGTCATTCTACTGGTTAAAGTGGTCCTCTAGGACAGGTGGTCACCTTAGCCAGGGTCATTCCACTGGTTGTAGTGGTCCTCTAGGACAGGTGGTCACCTTAGCCAGGGTCATTCTACTGGTTGTAGTGGTCCTCTAGGACAGGTGGTCACCTTAGCCAGGGTCATTCTACTGGTTATAGTGGTCCTCTAGCACAGGTGGTCACCTTAGCCAGGGTCATTTTACTGGTTATAGTGGACCTCTAGGACAGGTGGTCGCCTTATCAGAGTGGTCGCCTTGACAGGTTTACTGTATAGACGATGAGGAAACTTTGATGTGGACAATAAAATAACTGATAGGCATCTCATTTTAAGGATACAGTACTGCCGGGTAGCGCCGAAGAACGAACAGGCTAGGATTTCACTAGTCCATTTCAAAAATATAGACGCATGGTATTTTTGAAATATTTCAAATTTGGCTGGAGCTTTTTGAGATTTTTTTCGGAATATTGCTCAGGTCCTTCCTGCAGTTACTCTCATATCGATTTTTAAGCGATCGGATAGCAAACGCCCAATTTCGAATTTTTTATGCACAAAGTGATCACAGCTTTTATGTGGTATAGATGCTGGCCTAACGGTTTTTTTTTAAATCACGCGTCTATATTTTTGAAACGCACTGTAAGCACAGCATACCAATGTATACACGGTGATTCAACTGTGCGTAGACTGCAGTACATGAACACGAGAACCGTCTAGGCTAGAAGGCTGATCCCCCAGTTCTTCGGCGACCAACAGTACTGTATTGAGGTATGTAGCGTATAGCTGGGACTGAACATCATCACTCACAATTGTAGCATGCAGACAGACTTGCAGAAGACGCACAGAACGGCTAACAAGAGAATACCAAGAACGTAGCACAGCACGCCAATCGTCGACCTCCACCTGCAAATGAAACAGCGTAAATAGACGCACATGCAAACACACACATACGCACACACATGTGCACATATGCACACAAACACACACACACACACACACACACACACACACACACACACACACACACACACACACACATGTGCATGTACGCCACACACATGTGCATGTACGCCACACAGATGTGCACACTCAAACACACATACACAGTTACTGAGTATAAACAAACAAGAACTGCCGTGAAAAGTGAAATCCAGGCTAATGTCCGCGACGGTGCTAAAGGCTTCGCAAAACCATGTATGAGGTGATGAAAAAACCTGTTTGCAGAGCTGCAAGTGCACATCCGCCTTTCAGTTGCCACAGCTGTAAATAGGGCAAGTATAACAACTAATTACACTCTCTTTGTAGCCAATTTCCCTGACGAAAGTGTGTGTGTGTGTGTAAGTGTGTGTTGGTTCGTGTGTGTGTGTGTGTGTGTGCGTGTGCGTGAATTGCATGATGAGAATACTATGCAGTGTCCCATGTATGTATAACCTCTCCAGCTCTGTTGTTCCGCGAATCGTCGTCACACTGCTCACCTGTAGTCCTCGTATTTTTTCAGGTCGTCGGCATACTTGGCCACGTTCGGTACGCTTTCCAGAGAGCTGCTGATCTCACGGGACTGATCGGCTGCCGAGTTCACCTGTATCACGTAGTACAGAGAACATAGGAGATTGATCGAATCAACAGTACATAGCCCCCAGTAGTGTGCAAGTCCAGCTTAAAGGGGTCTGCGACGGCAGAACTATACATCACGCGACGAACCCGCACACATTATTCGCACCCTGTGCATGATAGATGCAGGGTTGCACGCAGCCCTGCTTTGGGTTCAACTCTCTTGTGGTCACTTTGCACTGTTTGCCAGCGTAAACTTTTGAACAATATCACGTGATGTGAAGTTCTGCGGTCGCAGCACTGTATAGAGATTGTGCAGGCAGTTGCACACTCTTGGGGTTACTAGGATAATATAATCTTGATCGAATCCAGTGTTAGTAGAACTAACAATCAACTGACCCAGCTTTTCGGGAGTGAAATGCCGTGAAACATAACGTATCATTCTTTCTCACTGTGGCCTTACCTGACCTCTAGCTTGGCTAGCCTGATTAACGTAATTTGTCTTTTGCGGATCTGGTACAGACGAGTTGCCTATTTCCAGCTGCAAGCGGTAAAGCAGCCGTGATTGCCCTGTCAAGTTAGTTGTGATGAGATTGACCTATGCACACAGACAGACACGAACACACACACACACACACACACACACACACACACACACACACGCAGACATGCACACAGACACACAGACACACAGACAGACATTATTATATGACGATGTATGCACGGACACCCCACGTACACATATGCACGCACACATATATGCATACATGCACACATACATACACACACACACACGAATGCACGCACACAAATACACACACACGCACGGACACGCATGCACGCACGCATACACGCACACTCGGCAAGGTAAATCTTCTATGTTTTCCGGCTCATTTTTCATACCCAATTCAGTGAGCCAGAAATCGAAGCGATAGGAACAAGTTTAGAGAATAGTGTAACGTCCCTAGCACAAGTTACCATGCCAACATGTTAGGCAGCAGATTAGAGTTTTAGCTGAAACGACATGCACGGCTGTATGGCGTGAGGACACAGCCTGTTGGGGCGGTGTAGCAAGAAGAACCCACGTGTGTGTGTGTGTGTGTGTGTGTGTGTGTGTGTGTGTGTGTGTGTGTGTGTGTGTGTGTGTGTGTGTGTGCAGGCTAATCGGCAGGGCAGTGTCCTGGAAAGACAGGGGGCACTGGGTTCGAATCCCGCGCGTGGATCCTTCTTTTTACAACTTGTGGAGCCGTTTCAGGAGCTGCGTTACTCTCCAGTGCAGGGGTGACCGGGATCTATATACCATAGCCGCCGGGAAGAGCTGGTCAGATCTCTATAATCATACCCTGGTGTTTGCAGATGACACCGTGCCGTTGGCAGACTTGACTGAGCTCGCTACTCCCAACATGCCGTCCCGCGTGAACTCGTTCCCATAGTAGCCCAGAACCAAGCCACCGCTGTAGACAGACAGACAGACAGACACACACACACACATACGGTTTACGTGGTCTGTCCGTATCACTGGGATTGTCGACAGCATGGCTAACATGTCAGTCCCAATGCCTTGACGTAGCCATGCACAAGAGCCAATATACGGTACTCGATCGTCATGTATACATTCACCCAAATATAGAAGACAAACCAGGTTCACTATCCATATCATGTTGGCAGGATTTAGTGGTGGCAAGGTGGTGGTCAACTCCTTATATGGGTGAAGTTTATACAGTCATGCAACTATCAAATGCCCTCAAAAGACCCTGGTGTGTTAGATGTTGCTCCCACTTGTACTCGCACTTACAGGCAAAGCAAAACGCAGATGAGGAGGAATACGGGATTGCAGCCTTTTGACTTTCCTGGTGGCGCCTCCTTGTTACAACAGCATGCCCTGACACACAGGTAGATGCAGGCAAACGCCATCAAGATGAAGCCGATGACCAGGAAGAGACCGGCGCTGAAGAAGACGCCCTGCAGCAGTAGAGATCCATGTGCCCACATAGCAGCACAGCAACCAGCACCAGCACCAGCACCATCAACAGCACCAACAGCAGCAGTAGCAGCACCGCCGCCAGCACCACCGAGCCCACCGCCACCAACGAACCCACCACCAAAGTCACACACACACACACACACACACACACACACACACAACCAAAAATATTATAGACACGCTCCGAAGTATATTCGTAAACACTACATGCTACAAAGTATCGTTTTTCACAGATTTATGATGTTCCCATACCATGAACACAGCTGCGACACAAACGCCCCCCCCCCCCCCCCCCACACACACACACATGCAAACACACACACACACACACACCATGTACCATGTACCATGTATACGCCCGTCGCAAGAGAAGCACGCAAATCTGCAAACGCACTGGATGTGCACCCACAGATTTTCTCTTATAGCAACGATAGCGAACAAGATCTGAATGAGACAGATCGAGACTTGCGCCAGATAACTGTTTAATCCACACAACTGGCGAAGCCATGTGAATCGACCACCAATGCACACCTGGTCTACACCACACGGAGTACATCGGTATAAAACGGCCAAGACAGATAACTGTCACACACACACACACACACGCACACGCACACGCACACACACACACACACACACACACACACACACACACACACACACAGATAGACAGACATCAGCCATGCTGAGACATCAGGCAGACCATGTCCGTCTGACAGCGCTGGAAACATTCTCTTCTTCCGGAGAGATAGAGTTGCAGTGTCGCTCTGATATCAACACAGGCAGATCTGATGCTGTGCTAATAATGCTAGCAATGACTGACAACACTGCAACATGTGCTGGCATTGTACCACTCAACACAATGATACATGGACAGAGGCACTACCACTGGGGCCTGGCAGTGTCACTGAAACCAGTCACTATAGAGTTGTGTCAAGCCATGTTTAGACAGGGGACAACGGGGTACTCAGTCCTATACGTCAAAACCAACTACAATTGTGTACAAGTACTTCCACAGTGTAGTGTATCTGGTTGTGCAGCACAGCCGCAATGGGTGCACAGACATGGAGGTTTCCCCGAAACTTCCCCCACATGGTGGCCACTTAGCCCGCTAAGAGGTAGGTAATACAACACAGACCAGAGTGAAGAGGATCTACTCAGAGGAGCTACACTAACCACAACAGTACACCACCGAGTACACAATACTATACAATCATCTAGGCAATACATCTGCTCAGTACTGTATACGGTACACAATACCATATAGGGTACACAATGCAAGTGGTGTTCACAGCTTTGTCATGTGGCCAAATTTGTGCTGTCCAGCTGCACAGCAAACAGCCAATGGTCACAGCCAGCCCAGACCACACCAGACCGGAAAAAATACATCACAAGTTGCGGCGGAGAGAAGTAAGCGGGCTGAGGTTTGCATTGCCACCAGTGCAGCAGCAGACTGTGTGTGTATGCCGGCGGGGGCATGAATGGCTGCAATAACCCAAACGCACAATAAGCTCTGCCCTGTCCAGAGGAGCCATGCTCTCCTCCTGAACTGCCCCCAGAGGAGCTGAACCACTAGCGACATCGCAAGCCCTGAATACGATACCAGCACAACACAACACTGCCACAAACTCTGCAGCACTGCTGGCGTGCACTGTCAGAACACTGTCTTAGAGCCCCCGCACAACACAGGACCGGTTGCACCCAGTTCATTTCATTGCAGTTGACAGGCAGTGGGCCCACACGCACACCCACGCGCACACACATACACACACACACACACACACACACACACACACACACACACACACACACACACACACACACACTGATTGCATTCACGTCCACGAGCTTTTAAAACATCTTTTTTATAATATAAATACGGGAAATCTGTATAAAAAGCGGCGAGGCGACAACAATTTCAGGATAGCGATCAACAGGACCAGATGAATCGACATTTCATAACGGCTTTACTGTACAGGAAACATGTGTTTGCCAGTTCCTGGCCATGGCAACACAACGACTAGTATGCCATTTATTATTGGGGCAAAAAAGCTTTACCCGAGAAAGTACAACCCGGGAATGTTTTTTGTTTTGTTTTCGGTGAGAAAGTGCAAGACGCTAACAGGAAACATTGTGTCAAGTGTGAAAAACGCGGGGTATCGCCTGTGTTGCACAAGTCAACATTCTCGTCCCGATATCCATACTCTAACAGGAAGCAGGGCAGCGCGTCAGGGCGCTAAGGAATCTTGCCGTGTATGGGATGAATCTGATTATGACACGCAGAGACAGAAATCCCGGTGACGATGTGAGCTGTGTTGCCGGTCGGCCGCACAGCATACTAGTCGGTTCCCACGCTCCAATGCAAAGTGCTCGGCGTTGCCATGGTAATATCTGCGCCGGCTACAGATCCATCATGGCTTTCGACCGTGCGTGTCAATTCGGCCACTAACTTTCACGCACACCCCCCGCATGCACGCACCCCCCCCCCCCCCCCGCCCCACACACACACAAGTGCACGCGCAGGCCGTTTTCGGCTTTGCCGTAGCCAGAAGATTGCCCTCCTTACATCTTGATGGTTTGGTCTTTGGAGAATATACCGTTTCATGCATCTTCCGCATCTTATATACGCGAAGTATCCCTGATATTCGACTTTTGATTTCCTTGAAGTGACGACCTTGGAGAACACGATACACACTATCCGACCATGATTAGACCATAACTCCTGCCCCCCCCCCCCCCCCCCAATAAACAGGTGGCAGCGATACCCTAGGACTACAGCCGAGCTGTGCACATCAGCAACATAGCCGCACTTCTCCTTCGAAATCATAGGGCTGCTGTAGCCAACCTTGATAGCCCAAACGGCTATCACAACAAGGTGTTCTAACAATAAACGTTTTCCCTGGAATCTCTTTCAAACGCTGCAGGACACACAATTATTATCATCACAGGACCCACCCGCGATTTTTCATTGGTCCGGCCCTGCCATAGCCCGTTCATACATTTGTGTATGAAGTGGCAGGTACACATGGCCTCCATAGCAACACTCACTGCAGGACCGGCGGAAGCAGTTTTCGATTGGTCCGGCAATACCCTAGCCTTTCATACAGTTTGTGTATGATATGGAGGGTATACACATGACCTCCTCAGCAGTAAACACACATGCTGATGGCCAAACAGTTGGTCCGGCCATGGCCTGGTCAACCGGACCGGTTCCACCACCCCAGTATTGCCAGCACTCCTCTCCCCCAGTACAGTCTCGGACGTACATGTACGCTCAGACACCTCTAAGGGGCCATCCGTAAACACCGATATTTATTTAGAAACGAAAACTAGTCGTTTCTCTTCAACCCCCCTCCCCCCTCCCTCAGAAACGAACATAATTATACAAACGATGCATAGTATCGATATTTTTTCTTTTCTTTTCTGGACGTGCCCACACATACAAACTGTGCATCGATATTTTTCGAGAAACGAACAGGCGCTAAACCCCCTCCCTCCTAAACGACTAGTTTTCGTTTCTAAATAAATATCTATATTTACGGATGGCCCCTAATAAAGGTTATAAACATGTACTGCCACCACAGATGCCGCACAGTCCTGCACTTACACAGACGGGCGTGCGTGCGCACACACAGATGCATGCACACACACACACACACACACACACACACACACACACACACACACACACACACACACACACACACTCTCTCTCTCTCTCTCTCTCTCTCTCTCTCTCTCTCTCTCTCTCTCTCTCTCTCTCGCACGCTATGTGCATGATGCCAGCACAATGCAATGCCATAGCTGGTACACTCAGATCTCTCTTCACGGGCCAGACCCCCAAGTTACGGGCACCTCGGTCCACGGGGCGCCTTGTTGGTGAATTCAAGCGGAAATATTACTTCTCTTTCGCCAATTGCTGTGGAAAGACTGACCTGATATGCCAGATCGCTGGCTCTTCCCCATGGAAACATATGCGATTCATGATTACGGCCATTTCGAGTTACAAAAGGGATGTACAAAACTGAGAGATATGAGCGTACAGTGCCATAACAATCCTCCACACAATGTCAGTCACTGTCACGCGCTTGACACATAATAATCATTATCAATCACTGCCATTCAACAGGCAACAGAGTAGCTATGGCATGTGAATTGCTGTTATTCCCTGTGCTGTAAACTGACTTCCACGACACACAATGCTTTCCTGCCAGGGACAGCCTCCAAGTCCAAGCTAAACCCCCCCTTCATACACTCATGTCGAACTAAACGTCATAGTTTTTCCGGATACATGTACATAATACAACACACACGGAACGAAGGGGACATTCACACGCGGACTGCGTGGACCGTAAATGGCAAACTGGGACGGATCGGCTCAGAAACATCATGATATGAGGTCACCACGTGCAGGCACTGTACGTGTCGTTCTTGCATACAAGGCAATCAACTACACGAGCAGCTATTTTTGGAGGAAACACACTGCCAACGATTTTCTTTCGCAACAGTACAGCACAATGCAACAGTCAATACAATGCCAATGGAGGAAGAGCCGAATCTACTGGTACAAAGCAGTCAGTTACGATTTACCAACACCCATTCGGGGAGAACGGCACAACACCACATTATAGTACACAGCAAAGACGGGTGGCTCAGGCAAACAAGTAGTTAGTTGAAACAACCGCAGCCACACAGCATCTAGCAGATAGCAGCGGTGTTCTCTGCTGGTATCAACGTCCGTGTACAACTACAAGCTTCGTGCAGCCGACCCACGAGAACGGCTCACTTGACGACAATCACTTCCATCGGAGATGCTGTGCCCTTTCCCACCGACAGTTTCCGATCGACTGTCATCGCTTTACTCTGAGTGCAGCCATTTCACCAGCAATTAACTGCATCGCGGCATTTGCACCGGCCCCGCAGGTCCTCTCAAACGGGAACCCATTGAGAGTTGCCAGAACTGCACGCGAGAGTCTAAGAATTGCCCTTGTACACAGATCTACTTGCGCATTGTATTGCAACATTGAAGCACATGTCACTAGTCCGGGGTGGATAATACGCAGATAGTCCAATGCATTTGAACTGACGGAGGGAACAAGTCAAGATAGTAATTTCACCGGTACCATGCACACCTACACCACAAAATTAATAAAATATTCAACACACAATGTACACACACACACACACACACACACACACACACGCACACACACATACGTGCGCGCGCGCGCACAGCAACACACTGGCGTGCCGGTCCGCCCCGTGCTTCGCAGAAAAACCGAAAGAAATCGCCTTGTTCGTGAAGGCTAACACCACAACCCAGCTGTCGTTACGAACTGTGACACGCTCACAATCTCAGTGAGTCAAAGGGCCAGGGAGAGGAAGCTGAAAGGCAGAGCGCAGAAGACAACATTCACCTGAACGCCACCCTGTAGTACTGCTTATAGAATGGCTCTGCCGCCGGTGACCAGAACCAAAGTGACGGAACGCAAGAGCACTGTGACACCACTATCACCAGAAATTTGTAAACACAATCAAAATGATTGCTGGTGTTACTGGCGAAGGAGCATTTCGAGTGTTGCACAAATCACCATATCACTTTCAAGGACCTGCGAACAGCACTTTCCCAGAAGCGAGGGGGAAGAGAGCGACCGGCACAGGAGCGAGGAGGTACAAACACCCGTGTCTTCATGTCTAGCCAGGTCGGGATATGACGTGAAACTAGACTTTTTTTACACGCAACAGCAGCACACTCTACGATTACAAACTCACCTCGTAGTAGGAGAGTTCAGTGGGGTCAAACTCATCGCTGACAGTTTTCAAGTTGCGATTCTTGTGCGGAAAGCCGTGCAGCTCCTTCGCCAAGCTGGACACCATATAGCCGACCGTTCCACAGGTCGCCATGACTGTTGGCGGAGGATATCACCACGAGAGACAGCTGATCACGATTCCTTTTACTCCTGCCAGTTGAGTTGGCCTCCGATACAGCGTACACAGAACACACTGGTGCAGGAAGGGAGAATGAACCTGTACAGCTTGAACAGAACGTGCTCGACCCAAATCGCAACTCCAAAAGAAAACTAACTTCTACACTGCTATGCGACAAGCAAGCACCAACGCCAACACTGGCAACAGGCACAGTCTGCAGGTCAATGAAGTTTTTGAAGTCGAGTCCACGCGCGCTGTACTGTAGTACAGTCTGTGTATTAGTAGGAGGCTCGAGGGTGGATAGCTAGCTGTGGCGGGGACGCAGCTGACCGACTGTAGAGTGAAGACTAGTAATACAAGTGACACTGACAGACTGCATGCATAGCAGGTCCACACTGGACAGAGTTCAGCTCCGAGCCTCCGACTGGGTCCCTGATCTGATCTGTGCTGCTGATGAGTCGGATGTAGATCTAGACAGTAGATCTACTCAGCAGCTAGCAGTAGACCTGGTAGACTGGTCGCAGGCTTTTTTTCTGTAGTGTATCTGAGCCGAGTCTACACTCACAGTAGTAGTGCACTGTCGACCTGATCTGAGCTGACAGGCTGACACGTACACGTACACACACGCACGCGCACGAGTACATATACACACGACGTGACGTACAACTGGATTTTTGGCGTTATCATGGACATGGCTGATTGTATCCGCCAGAACGGCTGGCACAGACTCACTGGCATCCGGCAGTGCTCTAGCTAGCTAGCTGGCCTTGTATTTTGTAAGTAACAATAGCCTGCCGTAGATCTACTGTCGACCATGGTCGACGTCGCCTGCACTTCCTTGGCAAAAGTTTGCGCTACATCAGTGGGTTCCCCCTTTTCTCGCCTTGCTCCCTCAAGTCATCAAGAGTAGATAAACTACAAGAGTAGATACAAAGCCTCAAACTTACTTGAGTCAAAGGGGCTATACCCTGCCCCTGAAAGACTACCGGTAGTACTGCATGGCCAGAACAAAAAGCAGTAGGAGCCGGATAAAGCGGAGGCGGAGGTCCCTACTGACCCCAGGCTGCGAGAAGAGCTACGAGTACAAGAGTGCAAGAGGTCAGGACAGTACAGTACAGTCAGTCCGTACAGGTCAGTGAGTAAAAATGCATGCATCTTCCGCCTAGCTAGCGCGCCTAGCGCCTAGCGCCTGTAGCTCTACTGATATTATATTTTTTAATGTTGCGACCAGGCATGCAGCAGCAGGGCCAGGGAGCTCCGGAGCTGGAGTAGAAACATTGTGGCTTTTTTTTATTTTGCTCCGGCCATTCCATGATGGGATATCGGGGCAGGGCCGATTATGACACTGACCCTGACTGGGCAGTCGATATCGCTTGCCTGGGTCGCGCCGGCCTAGCCTGGCGCCGGCGTGCTGGCCCTGCTCGGGCACCCGCGTAGATCTGTTGTTGTTGTTGTAGAAGTTTATTTAACGTCGCACCACAAACAGGCGATTTCGCCTCCTTTGATACAGATCTACCCCGGTGCACTAAGTGGGTGGAACACTTACTGACTTAGATTAGAACAGGTCAAGTCAAGGCGGCACTTGGCCCTCCTGGGCCTGGCTGCGCTGCTGTGCTGCCTGCTGGGGTCACCGTTGTCACTGGTCTGCACTGGATGGAGCAGGTCAAGCCTCAACTCAAAAAGGCTGAGGCGGAGCAGTTTGACCATATTTGACCCCGTACATGTACAATCATGTAGATGTAGACCTCTACAAGACTGTAACATAGTCATGACTCGTGTACATGTAGGTCCACACTTTCAATTTCGCTCAATCGTAATTTTTCTACTCTTTGATGACACGCTCACTCACTGACCCGGTAGTATGTGAGGCAAGTCTCAGAAACTGCTCAGAAAAGAAGATGCCTTCCACCCCCCCCCCCCCCCCCCCCGTGTCGAAGAGGTTTTGTCTCCCCCCCCCCCCCCTGTCGAAAAGGTTTTCTCGGCGTGGTTGGCTAGGGATGGGTTCACTGAGTTGCCTCGACGATGTTGGCAGTCCAGGAACCGTGCGACAACCTCGCTACAGGGCCTTTTCTGCTCGACAATTGTCGCGTGAATATGCAGTATTTGCAGGATTTAAAGCCGCAACCCCTGCCGATTTACTAAAACACTTGTATTTGTCTTGAACCAGACACGAGAAGGAGAAGCATCGCAGCTACAAAGCACGAGTTTTGCACATCGAGCATGCGTCATTTGTCCCCATCGTCCTCAGCCTTGCACTGGCGGGCAAGGCAAAGCAGCGAAGGCTCTCTACAGCAGGGTTGCGTCAATGATATCGGAGAAGACAGGAGAGTCTTTCTGATCAGTGATTGCCTTTCTTCGAGTGAGGTTGGGCTTTGCTCGCGTCCGAGCAGCTGCCGCTGCCATTCGTGGTCATCGATGTCCAGCCTCTTCCTCTGCCGTTGATCAGAACCGGTTAGCAGCTTTTAATGACAGTCCATTGCAATAGGGTCCGCTGGCCTAGTTGGATACCAACAACAGACAGAATTGAAACTTTCATTTCAACCCCCCCCCCAGGGAAGAGTTGAAATCGACCCGGGGCGAAATTTCAACCCGGGTCAAGCGCAATGCGTCATGTAAACGCGCCATTCATTTTGTGTACAAGGCGGGTTGAAATCTGACCCGGGTCGAACTCAACCCGGGTTGAAACTTCTCATGCAAACACAGCCTAAGGCACTGTCCAACTTTGCCGGCGGTCCCTTTCGATATTTTACCGTATGATTTGTTACGACTGCACTGGTTCACACAATCGCACTGCGCCGGGAGAGGTTGCAAGAGGCCCACTCCCGGTGACTCCCAGCGCGTACCGGCGATATGTGAACCAACCCTAAGGCACTATTCAAGAGAGGGCTCTAATCGAGCGAGAACGGTACTGGTATGCCGTCAAAAGTCCACTTCCAGAATCCTGTATGGATACGTGAATACTTTCGTGCGAAATTTCCTGTGCAGTGCTATTCAAACCAGGCACGAGATACGCACAGACGTACGGTAGTACGATTTCTCGATTTCAACCCTCCCCTTGGAGAGGAATTTCAACCTGGGTCGAGCGCAATGTGTCATGTGAACGCGCCAGTCAATCTGTGTTCATGGCGGGTTGAAACTTGACCCGGGTCGACCTCAACCCGGTTTGAAACGCCTCATGTAAACACAGCCTGCGTTTGAATTGGTGCCCTTCAATTGGAGCCCTTCATGCACATGCAATGTATGTGTAGCCATGTGTACATGTATGTGTACGTGTGCATGCCATATCGCTTGTAGCGATGCATCGGGCGTAGCGATGAAGAACGCTGAAAACAAAAGCCGTACGCTATAGCCGATACTGACTGTACTAGGATAAACACAAGTGCTGCCTGGAAGTGGTGTCCCTCCCCCCCCCCCCGCTCTCCCCGCACAATTAACCTAAGGTCCACAGTGAATCACAATACACATGATTCAGGGCCGGTGCCACTGGTATGGCTGGTACGGCCGTGGCTGTACCAGTGTGTCAATTCCAGATTTCACAGATGTCCAGTGTATGATCAATTATTGTGTGGATGTACAAATAGGTTATCCTTGCTAGAGTCTCTCACCCCTAAACTGTCCATCATGTCCCGTAAGGACTACTGGACTAACTGAATACAGTCAACTTCGCTTATAACGACACTCGGCGGGGCATCAAAAAGGTGTCCTTATTCGTGAAGTGTCGTTATACCCGAAGTCTCATTACCGTATTTTTCCGGTTATAAGTCGACCTTTTATGACTGAAAATAGCAGGAGAAAAGGTGGGGGTCGACTTACAACCGGGATTCGACTTATAACCGGGAATTATCGGTATCTTCCAAAAGTGACCTGCAATGAGTACACGAGTGCACCATGTGTATGCATTTTTGCCAAGTCTATTTGCCTTTTTCAAGGATAGGGATGTTTCAGAATCCAATGAGGAGTGTTTATGTGATTTGTTCATGTGTTAGTAGCAGGGAGCGGTTAGCAGTGCTTCGTTAGGCAAACACTTTAAAAACATAATTAAGACCTCCGGATACGGGGGGTCGACCTATAACCGGGGTCGACTTATAACCGGTAAAATACGGTATATGTATTGCAGTGGGATGGGACTTTGCTCTGGGCATGGAAATTCTGTCGTTATTTGCAAATTGTCGTTTTTACCCGCAGTCGTTATAAGCGACGTTGACTGTACATGCATATAATGTGCATGTACAGTCAACGTCGCTAATAGTACAATGCAATGTCGTTGCATTGTACCTGTTGCTAGCGACATCTGTAGCTGGAACAACCAGATGTGATGCCATCACATCTGGTTGTTCCAGCTACACATGTCGCTAGCAATCATGCCGCACACAGCTAGCTACAGTCGAGATGAATCCGCCCACGACACTGAAATAGGGCATGCGGAAATTATCTGCCCTGCAGCCGACCCGGGGGCCGTACCACACCTTGGGAGCTGGCCCTGGGCCTGTGATTGTATACACACGCAACAGAGGCGAAAGGCTGTGTTACTGCAGCTGTAACTTTAAGGGTGCGTTTTTATATTCTCTAGCTTCTCGGAGAAGAAGAAAACAGAGGTCGAAGAAACTGGTATGATCTAAGAACGGGTCTCGAAGAATTCGGAGATGTTTTGCACATGTCAAGCAATATGAAGCGCCAAAGGGGCCGCAATCTTGAGTGCCACGCATGTAGTATGCACTGTGCATTATATGTGAAAAGGGAAATGCGTACAATCATGATCAACACGTGGCTTTTAGCCTAGTTCGCATGCGCTGATCCCAAACCGCGGGAATCTCCAAGTTTCAACCACCTCTGAAGCTTTGAAAGCTTTGCTGTCCCTCCAGGAACTTGCGATTCCGCGGCCGCGTTATTTTCCGCGATTTGAACAAAAGTCCGTGATGTCCGCGATATTTGAAAAATCATCCGCAATATTGTAGAAAACTGTCCTTGTTACTTGAAAAGCACCGCTATATTTCGAAAAGCAACCGCGGTATTCGAGTTTTTCTTTGATGTTGTTTAGTTCTTCAAGCTCGTCAGTAGTTTACTTGTGAGATCGACACCAGAATGGAGAAGTTTCTGGGCAAATCAGCGGCTGACAAGTCACAAAATAAGGCTCGCGTCAAGTGTTGTCCGAGGATGGAGGAAAGCTGTCTTGCAAGCTCCTGTCAGGCAGTCGAACACAGACAGAGAGCGCAGCACACGTTCTGTTTTGTCATGCATGATTTATGCTGTACGACTCGTACATCGTACAGCACTACAGTACAAGTACCAAAATCGGCCGCAATTTCCGCAATTTTACCACAATAATCCCGCAATATTTGACAAAATCCGCAATATTCCCCGGAATTTGTGGCATTTTACCACAATAATCCCGCAATATTTGACAAAATCCGCAATTTGTGGCATTTTACCTCGCAACTTTTTCCGCGATATTTCCAAAATGTCTCAGCAAGTTTCTGGAGGGACAGGCTTTGGAGAGCCTCCTAAAAATCGGAGAGGATATAAGAACAGCTGTCAAACTTTTCGGAGAGTTTCCAACTTTTCCGAGAGGATTTAAGAACGCACCCTTAGCATTTCAGGCTGGACGTTCTTGGGCTAAATGTTCTTCAGCGAGCGACTCCACTGTACACTCATACCTCGGTTATCCGGACTTCGAAGTTACGGGCACTTCGGTCTACCGGGCACTATTTGGGCGAGTTTCAGGGGAAATATTACTACTCTTTTGTCACTTTTCGTAGAAATATTGACGTCATATGCCATATCGATGGCCTTTTCCCCATCAAGATGTATATGATTCGGAGTTACGGGCACCCTCGAAGTTACGGGCAGTGTCCGGTCCCGAAGCGCCCGGATAAGAGAGGTATGAGTGTATTTGGCCCCCGGCGTAAGATGGATGTGGACATGGGATTTCGGCCCGGTTTCGACCCCTGAATACCAGTAATATGATGATGGGATATTATATGCATCAATTTCCCGCCATTAGGTTTTGCGGGGCAAGTCCACTACAACCGTACACACTGTCATACCAACTCTGCATAAAAAGGTCATAAACTTTGTACGGTCATACTCATAAATGTACTAGAATGGGTTGTACCTGCCAAAAATGGGGCAACTTGCCCCACAAAAAGGTGACGGCCATCTTCAATGCATAACTCCCATTGGGCTTCTTGCACTGCCTGTAGTGCCACACAGCAAAGGTGCTTGGACTTTTCGGTCTTGAGCTCTCAGGAGATTCTTTTTCCTTCTGAAGCGCTCACTCAAATTATCTCGGGGGAGCTCACAATGGACAGGGTTGTCTGCCAAGCACCTCCACTGTGCAACGCCATAGGCGTCGGCCCCAATGCCTTTTAAAACTGGTCTATTCATATGTACCAGGGATATTTTACGACTCCCTGGTATGTACAAACCTGCAAACTGGGCTACAAACCACAGGGAAAGCTCGGCGGGGAGTAATTATTTCTCGCAGTGTACGGATTGTAAATGTAGCTGGATGTAATGCTAGCTGTGCACTGCACACCGGACCTTTAGGAAAGAGATCACGGTTGCATGCTTTTGGTTAGGAACTCAGGGAAAAAAACTGATAAGATGTCACGTGATGTTCTTGAGGAGTTGTGAAAGTCGAAGCAACTTAAAAGGAGAAAAAAAGGGGGAGAAAGTGATATGGTATTTTATCAACAGAAATACGAATGCCGCACCACACAATCGTCAAAGGACAGTTGCAGCATATTACAAAATGGAAGTTCACCCTTATCAAAACGAATACAAGACATCAAATTAATTTAAAAATCAGTGAGAGCATAAGTAAGCTCGTATCCGATGCTTCACCTTGCCTGGAGATGAGCGCGTATGTCATCTGCTGATTAGACGATGGTTGCTATGACAGCGGAGAGGATGACCATGGCCGAGCCTGGACGAAGGAAAAACACAGAACGCCACGGCGCGTGCACGATCAGTCAACTTTCGACTAACTACAGAGTGCAATTTCAAATTTTGGACTTCACGGAGAATTTCAAAGTGTTAGGAAATTAGCAGCCACATGCCACCTACTGCTCTTTTCTCTCCGAGCCTCAACACTTGCAAGCCAGATATGAAAGAAAGAGTGTTTATCTAATACTAGAGTGGGTTCACACCTATCACATGACCATACACCGGGCAGCCATGGTGGTTCCAACCAGGGAGTCGTAAAATACCGGTATTTTACGACTCCCTGGTTCCAACTCCACTCAACCCCTGCATAATATACATGTACATGTATGGGTCACATGATGTCGGCCATGTTGGTTCCACTGTTCACAGGGCATGACCACCTACTGCGTCACGTGACGAAGATGTGAAACCACTCCCAACCCCTAACTTGGAAAGCAGATATTAGAGATGCACCCCCCCCCCCAAAAAAAACAGGTGGAATTGTGCAATGAAAATTTCAAAAAATAAATAAATAAAAGTAAAATTATCGTATCCGTTCCCGAAGGGAACTCACGTTCCCAAAGGGAACTCACGACGGCGGCTAACACCCGACAAACCCTAGCAAAAAAGAATGCATCCATATTCTTGGAAGGGACACACAGCGTCACAAGAACGATGACATTTGAACATCTCCTGAACTTACTTGCAACAGCGACTAGTTTGATGGATTGGTGCAGACCGGTATCGGTGTTCACCCAGGAGATCACCATCATCGAGGAAGCCACACACGACAGCGAATGGAAGAGATAGCAACAAAGAGACAACGCAGGTAAGGGCATTGACACGCAGAGGGCATTTAAAAAACACTTTCACAAGAAGCGGTGGGAGGTGAGTTGATCAGACCCACCACAAAGTGGTCAAAGAGCGAAAAACCCATTCCATTTGGATCTGCTACTTGATCTTAGAGGGTGGGGAAAACTCGGCCTTCAGCCAAGTCTCACGCGAACCGTGAACATTTTTTCACCAGAATTACCCCACGCCTTCTGTGAATTTTTAAAAAGAGATTACGGGGAATTTCAGACTGAATTCCGAGTCACACTAGTGATTACCCTCTGTGATTTTTAAAAAGCGACTTTTGTGGAATTTCAGAGCGAATCCCCGAGTCACACGAGGGATGTTCCGTAACAACTTGTTCAGATCTACCTTGTACTAGTATTTGGGAAGTCGCACATTCGGTCAGCGGTCCACGTACCATGGTCTTTCTGGGGCTAAGATAGAACATGTTGAGGGGTTGCTTTGGCACCCGAAGTACCACACCCTGTCTGCCTATGCCCTGACACATTGGTGATATAATGTGAACTGATCCGGAGCGGCAGCTTTGCATACACATTGGACTTCACCCAGAACAACTGTACATGTACGCCACTGATAGTGAATACTGTTAAACCGGAAAATTTCGATGGAGATTTATTTTCGGTAACTTCGGTACATGTACAGGCAACTTTCACCTAAAATAAAACGCGACCTAAAAAACATTCAACCATGCCATGCCACATGGTGTGCAAAGTGCATTTTTGGATCTGGAAAACTGATCCACCGAAAAGTTCGCGCCACGAAACCGTTGATTTTGGGAAATACCGAAAATATTACACCACCGGAAATTCCCGGCTTTACAGTAGGCTCGACAGCGAATATGACGAAACATGAGAAAAAATGCATTTAGAGAGGAACAAGTGGCGGCCAAACTGGACTGCAAGCATGCCACCAGCACTGCTGTCTTGCAGTCCCAGGCATGGCAACTTCGCTAATAACGACTGCGGATATGACGACAATTCGCGAATAACGACAGAATTTTCCATGCCCAGAGCAAAGTACCTGTATACATGATAATGAGACTTCGGGTATAACGACACTTCGCGGATAAGGACACTTTTCTGATGCCCGGCCGAGTGTCGTTATACGCAAAGTTGACTGTAGCTCGTGTATACCATAGGTACTACACAGTCAGAATACTGTAGCGTCTTGTATAAAAACCGGTCTCATTTTAATAGGAGCCTCTTTTGATTACAGGCCTGATTTCTTTAGATGCACTGTCGGCACATATCGTAAAAGCAGAAAATTTCCGTGGTGTAATGTTTTCAGCATTCTCCAAAAACGGTGGTTCGGCAGAGGGAAATTTTCTGCAAACCCGTTTTCCAGGTAAGTGTACTAGTACTATACCGGAATTTTTGGTGCGTTTTATTTTCGGTAAAAATTTCGGCACCGAAGTTACCGAAAATAGAACACCTCCGAAAATTTCTGCTTTTACAGTAAGCCTAGTTCTAGTGATGTCATACGTGTACCGTAAAGTACCGTTGATCCGTCCCCCACACCGTGTCGCTTCCCAGCTGGATTTTCGGCAGGGGGCAGGAATTAGATCAAGGCTGCCAAGTGCAGTACGGTGTACAACAACGTAGAGGATCAGACTCTTTACATGACTTTACAGTAGTCAAAAGGCGACTTTGGGGTTGCCGGTGGTACAAGGTCACCCCACCACAGATGTGCTCTGGTACAGGGCCACCCACATCACATACTGGCGTGTGCGAACTACGCCTCTGAGTCCAGGGACACAGAGCTGGACCAGTGGCTTTCTAGCACCCTACACGGCTTACCGTCAGCGGGGGCTGTTGTGTTTACCATAACAGCCGTTGATGTGTAGTTGGAGGCAGAAGTTGACACGTTGGTCATACTGCTGGGCACAACGCCTGAAAGTGTGAAGGTGTAGACAGAAAATGACCAGAAATAGAGAGATAGATAGAGCGCACATTGAAAGTAAAATATACACGATGGATGGGAATTGCTCAGAAGTAGTTTCACAGTACATATTATGTACCGTAGTGTCTCGTTTTAAAGCCGGTCTCATATATAGAAGCCCATTTTGAATACAAGCCTGATTTTCAAGATACACTGCCAGCACATACGCCTGGTTTTAGTGTTGCCATACCTACTGTAACCTAGGAATACCCGTCTTGTTTAGAAGCCTGTCTCATATAGAAGCCTGCAAAAATTCCCCCAAAAAGTCACATAAGCCGCGGCCTTTATACACGACTGTACGGTACATAGAAATACCTGGCCCTTTGAATAGAAACCTGATGTGAATAAAAGCCTAGCCCTGACATCGGCATCTACAGGAATAAGCCCGGCTTTAACACGCTACATTACGGTACATTGAAGCTACTTTGGAGCAATTCCTATCGCCATTATGTTCAATATTTTGTGAACTACCGGACCAATCAAAAACTGCGTCCGGCAGTCCTGTGGGTAAACATGGACCGTGAGCTGGTTCAGGGCTACATCATCGAGAAGCCCGGTAGTAAGTTACAAAGTTCATGTTCTTACACGGCATGATCATGTTGAACTGCACTCAGCCATGCGATTTTGCTTTCCCTGGCTGGAAATCAAGATGGAATGTTCTGGCGGTATTTTAGGGAGATACTAGCGAGTTTCTGCACAATGTAAGTACATTTGTAAAAAAAGTAGTCGATCAACGGAAAGTTTTATGTACAGTGCTTGCGGATCCGGGCTCCGCATAGTTATGGAATCACATAGCTGCCCTTCGCAACTCCAAACGCGACAGTGTACGACCTAGGGAGAGAGTCATACTCATGTAAATTTATACCCTAGTTCACTTACGGAGAACCTTTCACTAGTAGAGCTCAGATTAGTATTTTGTATTTATGGATTCTCCACAGGCCTTAGCCAAAATCGAGGGAGTCTCCGTTTATGTACTCTACGTAGATTTTCGTAATTGGAGTGCAAACTCGCGAATTCACGGGTTTTCCTGCCCACTTATGTAAAGTTGCTACGTAAAGTAGCTCAACTTTACGTAGTGCAGAACCTGTATATTTTAACTTTTGTAAGGTTGCTGCTCCTAATGTCAGAGCTCGTGAACGCTGCAGACTGGCTGGTACTTGAAAGACTCCTGCCTGCCCGATGATCCGGTGCACACACAAGACGCATGGTCCAACCTCCAACCCAGCCAGCCTGCAGCAACGGTGGGAAAATATCCACCAATGCACGTGCCCTCTGTCTAACAGAAACCATTATCAACATACTGTAGAGGCAGAAAATTTCGTCGGTCAATAATTTCGTCCAACTCCAAAGAAAAGGAGCTCGTCCGGTTGAAAATTTCGTCCATAGATCATAAGAGTGTATAGAAACGCTGGACAAATCGATATTCGTCCTACATTTAATTTTGTCCAAAAGCTCCTTGGACGAAAAAGACGAAATTAAATTCCAGACGAATATTTCTGCTTATACAGTAACCGAGAGTACATAACCCCGAAGAGTATGCAACAACCTGCACAACCTCTACACAGTGCAGCGACGGTAGAACTGGAATTCACAGCGTGTGACATGGTTCAATCAAAAGGCTACGCTAGCAAACAGCACAAAGTGACCACAAGAGAGTTTAACCCAAAGCAGGGCTGCATACAACCCTGTATCTATCCCATGACTTGATCATATTAATCTATCGTACCATTATATTTTTTCATTGTAGCCTAGAAGCTGTGACATCATTCATGATCCACAGCAAGAAGGCAGAAGTGAAATTAAGATGACATAACATAACTTATCATATCATGCACAGGGGGAAAATAATGGGTACAAGTTCATCCCGTGATGTTAAGCTCTGCCGTCGCATACCCCATAGCTGGAGTTGCACACTCGTGGAGGTTATGTACTCTTGATACAACATGTTTTAGTCCAGTCTAAGATGCACACGAGTGAACCAGAATGATTGGACAGCAAATGCATGCACCAACTCAGTAGTTACCTGTCGGAACAGTACACCACGGATTTGAGGGCACGGAACATTGAACTCCTGTTCAACATATGAATATAAGAGAAAAAGAGAGAAAGTGTGTGTGTGTGTGTGTGTGTGTGTGTGTGTGTGTGTGTGTGTGTGTGTGTGTGTGCGTGTGTGCATGTGTGCGTGAGAGAGAGAAAGAGAAATAGAGAGAAAGAGAGAGAGAGAGAGAGAGAGAGAGAGAGAGAGACAATCAACCTTATCCGTATTGACCTCGACTGCAACTCATTAGTAATAACGACACAATAGGGACCTTTCGCACCACGCGTACGGATACGAAACGATTGCTGATTCGTCACCTGCGTTCGAGGATTTGTCAGAGTCCCTGCGGAGAGCTCGTTTTCACGAATGGAAGCCTCTTCATTCGCGGCGAGCTCCGAATCCGTCAGATACACATTTTTTTGCCAGGTACACATTTTTTCCCTTGATTCCACGATCCATTCACGTGTGTGTGTGTGTGTGTGTAAACACCCATACGCCAAGCTACCAGCCATATTCGTAGTTGCCATGGACATTTGCACGACAACTTGCGAAACCTGGATCGGTTTTCAACGAAACGAGGACGAGCCGAATCAAACTTTCGTTTCGCATTCGATTCGCAGCAGACGCGAAAGGTCCCTAATCTTCAGATCTACCGTTAATGCTCCTTTGTTAATGCCCCTTTGTTAATGCCCCTTTGTTAATGCCCCTTTGTTAATGCCCCTTTGTTAATGCTCCTTTGTTAATGCCCCTTTGACGGCACACGTTCAACTTCATGAATAGCATCCAACGTTGCAAAACAGGCCGGGAGGGAAAGCGTTTAAAAAGAAAGAAATGGTAGGTCTAAGATGTAGAAGAAAACATGGGACCAAGTTATAAAGCAACTGTCCACGACTTTAGACAAGAAAATAAGCAGTGAGAAAGTGTGATCACAGGGCACAACACTGACAAGCTACTGAGACAGTCAACGACCAGACACCTACACCTGTAGCTCTAACACATCTCCAGTGCACAAACCAACAGCCTTCCAGCTTGGAAGGTTCACGGTTAATTAGGAAGGAAGAGGGGAAGGCCAAAGACCGAGAACCGAAGAGGGGAGGGTGCCTGTCAGTGGTGTACCCTGGTATCGCACTTTCTGGCTGCTTGAAATAAATCATGGACAGTTGCTTCATAAATGTGGAAGAGAAAAAGACATATGGATACGAGTTAAGAGTAACTCTCCATCACTGTAACAGTTTTGTGCCTAGTTATTGCACTTTCTGACTGTATAATAGTATCATGTTACAGTGATGGAGAGTTACTCTTAACTCGTATCCATATGTCTTTTCTCTTCCACATTTATTTATGGCTCAACATCCGAGTTTCAAGTTGCTTCATAACTCGTTCCCATGTGTTTTCTGCCATTTTACATCTACAGTCGACTCCTGATATAACGAACACCATAGTGCAGGAGAATCAGCTCTTTATAGCCGAAGTTTGTTATAACAGAAGTTCTTTATAGCCGAAGTTTGTTATAACAGAAGCACACTCACACTATGCAGGCAGCAAGTCATGACTGGCAAGTGGCCCGTGACAGTATGAGTGCACTCTGTTTACATGCGGCGCACAAGATTTGGCTCGTTGTAAACGAAAACTGCTCGCTATGAAGAGTCAGCTTAGCTTTGTATGGGTCAAAACTTCAAACAGGACAACACACATGGACAACGGTCCGCTATACAGTGAAACAGCTAAGACGACCGCTCAAGGGACCATCAAGACGTGGTCTCTGTTACCAGGCGGTCTCCTTATCCAGGGTCATTTGACTGGAAATCACATCCCTTGGTCCTGGGTTCAGTGGTCTTCTAGGACAGGTGGTCGCCTTGAAAGGTTTTACTGTATCACGAAACTCACTATATGCGAGTTCGTTATATGTGGAGTCTACTGTATTATTGGCTCAGTATTCGAGTTAAATAGTGGGTCTATTAATTAATCTATTACGTACCTGGATGACTAATGTTCTTAGTGCTTGTGGGGGTACCGCCCATTGTGAAGGCACAAGTAGGGTCTCCCAGCTCAGCACCGTTGGAGAATCCGTCGTTGTCACTGTCCATCTTGCAAAAAGTGGTAGTCCACATTCTATTGGCATTTACGAAGTCCATCCCGAACTGGTTCCCTGAGGTAACAAACATAGGAAAATAGGAAGCATAGGAAATCACCAGCTAGGGATGGCATTGAGCTATTAGTGAGTTTCTGCTACACGGAACTACGTACCAAACTCCGTGTCAACTGCAGTGAAGTTCGACACAGATCTTTCGGACGTTGTGCCGGTTCTGCTGTGCGTAGCATGCTCGAACTTCCCGCCACACGTACTCTGTGTGCTCAGTTTTCACACGGAGACCTTCACACGGAAAACGGTATGAAAATATCCGTGTGAAGCTTGATCCCATACCCCGGTGAGGTTTCCATGCGTACTTTGGTACGTTTTACCGTGTGGCAGAAACCCTCTATTAGCGGCACATTACCTGAAGTGGGGAACTGTCTCGGTTTTTGATTCGGAAGAAGACGGTCCTCCAACTCCCCAAAAGAAATTAAAATGGACGCATTATTATCTAGGGCTGAGTCGGGTAGCGTTTTCTTCGGGTATCGGGTTTGGGTAGTTTTCCACGGTTAGTATGGGTACCCTATTGGGTAATGTTTCCATGGTAACACCACAATGCACCCCTTCCCTTACAGACTGGGTAGAGATGCGGATTATTACATGAATTTGTACACGTGCACTATACATGATGTCATCTGCGACTTTGGGTTTTCGGGTACAGGTGGAATCCTGATAATTCGAACCTCGAAATGCCAGGAAAAAACTTCTAATTAGCCGGACATTCTAATTATCCAAACATGAACCCACAGCACAATATGTATATCAAAATGCGCTCATGGTCACGCAGAGTTGCGCTATGGACCTTAAACACAGATTTCACGGATACTGAACTGACCGGCACAGCCTGCTCATGCAAACTGAACCGACCAGTACAGTGTACAGTGAACTTCGAATTACACTTTGCTAACTTCGAATTATCAGCACAAATCCCACACATTTTCTATGTAAGTGGAATCCGTGGAACTTCGAATTAACCGGACATGTCTGGTTCGAGGTTCGAATTATCAGAAAAATTTATGTGACAGAAATCGGTCCTGGAAAACTTCTAATTAAGCGGGATGTTCGAATTAAGCCATATTCGAATTACCAGGATTCCACCTGCACTATTCTGTGCCCGACTACCCGAGGTCCTCGCGGATAGCACGGGTACCTAACTACCCGTGCACACCACTACACTATTCGTATTGCAATCAAGAGTACTAGCTGTGCAGTATAACCATGCTGTATTACAATAGTAACAAACATGCGAGAGAGGAAAGAAACCGGCTCTGAACACTTCTTCTTCTTCTTCTTTCACATGTGCATTTCACTTTCACCTTTCTCTCCCATGTTCATTACTATTGTCACTATAAGCATGGTTACATGATAGTCAGTACTCTTGATTGCCATATTGAGGTTTTTAACTTGTTGATGCCATCTTCAGTAGGTCCGTCAATCTACCACTATTGAGGTTTTTGTCTCCGAAACGCTTGTGAACGCATTATTATTCTGGTTAGTTGGTTAAAATTAAAGGGAAGTATGGTGGGGGCAGGCAGGCATAGTGGGATGGTCTAAGACCATGTTTGAGAAACAGAGGGTACCAGGTTCAAGTCCTGCTTGGAAGCGGAAGGAATTTTTCCAACCGTGCTGCGACCCACAGTTATTTGGGAACTTGTGGCCTGGCACGAGGGTAACATGGATGCAGCTAATGGGATTTCGGTCTTCGACCACTTGGTGGTGGGTCTGATCTACTCACCTCCCACCGTTTAGGCGCTGCATCTGCGCCTTTGATCCTAGAGGGTGGTGGCGTTCCCACGACGGATGCGGAAAACTGGGCTTCCAGCCGAGTCTCACGCGAACCGTGAAATTTATTTATTATTTATGGTCTAGAATCAAAATCTCATTACTCGTAGTCTTCAGGGCGCAGAGTTGAATGGTCTTGGTCCGAGGAAGCTGAGGCGCTTCCTTCCTCCTTTATTCCCAATCGACCTTGCCACTTCCACCGAAACTGGGTGACTACACCGTACTACAGATGGGGATGTATATGCAACATGGCACTAAAAGTGCCATTTCGTTCTTATAAGAGCACGGATAAACAAGTATAGTCTGTCGGATGCCGAGTCGACTGGTTTTGGTTCGAGAGGCTGCGATGCAGTGTTCAGCCCTTATTCCCAATTAAACACGGTTGAGGAAGCGGTCACGTGCTGATGTGTACACCAGATACCTGATCACCGTGCCTGCAGGCTACAACTTTCACACGAAGGCTCAACTCGAGTGACAGGACCTCATGCTAAAAAGGCTGTAAGTTGTAGCCTGGAGGCATGGTGACCAGGTGACTGGTGTACACATCCGTACGTGACCGCTTACTCAACCGTGTTCGAGTGGGAACATGGGAAGATTCTAGATCACTTCCCCTTTTTAGCAATCTCGTACGATGGCACTGCGAAAAAGCCATTGCGGCACAGAATGTGGAAGCCTCGTAAGTACGCAATCGACATCAGTATATCAGATGTTCATGTACCACTCGCAGATCTACCGCGCACTCTCAAGCTGTGTACAGTGTATAAGTGAAAGCACAATCATACAAACAGAACTCAAAAAGGGGGTTCATACGATTCTTCCCCCCCCCCCCCTCCCTCCCCACCCCCATGTCCCCGGTACGGACCTGGAGAAAATCAGGGGGTTCGAATCCGAATTCCTCGAATCTTTCGCTAACATTAGGTGACAAGCATAATACAGCTTCACCCGTTACTAAACCTTTGCATTTACCAAAAATGCTCTTTCATAATGCCACTTTTTGCGACATGACAAGCGACTTGCGACGCCTGCAACGAGCTGCGGCAGCGACACACGATTCGCTACCTTTTACGTTTCTGCAACATCCCTATGCAGTGCATGAGCTATGCATGTGCACCCAGAGTAGAAAACTGTTCTCTATTTGTGGTGTTGTTGCTGTTGTTGTTTCAAATCTTTATTCTCACGATAGCCAGTGGCCAGTAAGAGAGAAAGTTTTTGTTATTGTTGTTGCCGTTGTTGTTGAGTTGTTGTTGTGCATACAAGTACAGTCAACTTGGCTAATAACGACTGCGGATACAATGACAATTCGCGAATAACGACAGAATTTTCATGCCCAGAGCAAAGTCCATACTACCTGTATACATATAATGAGACTTCGGGTATAACGACACTTCGCGAATAAGGACACTTTTCTGATGCCCGGCCGAGTGTCGTTATACGCAAAGTTGACTGTACGCAATTGGCATGGTATCTTCAGACAAGGTGCGTAAGACTGCACAATACAACTCACCATTGCCGGATGGTGCACCGTCGCAACTTGAAGCATGGCCGAAAGACCGACAGAAGCTGTGTAGCGGTAGAGCACATAGACATACCAGCATACACGCACATGCACACACATGCACACACACACACATGCACACACACACACACGCACACACACACGCACACACACATGCACACACACACACACACACACACACACACACACACACACACACACACACACACACACACTACTACTACTACTACTACTACTACTACTATGTACAGCTACCCTATCGGGCCACGCCGCTCCCAGAAACGGGAGACAACGACAAGAAGAGAGAAGAGAAGAGAGAGAAATCGCAAAGTCAACAATATTTGGCATGGCGTTGCAAGTCCTGTGGCCTTGAGAACCGTCTTTCGCAATGCTCGCATTCATGACGGCAGTTGTTCCTGGCTGCACGTGACATCCGTTTCGCACGGTCACAGTGATGACGGCTCAAACCAGAACGAGAGCGGAAAGAGCGGCGACAAACATCACATCGAAAAGAGTCAGATTCATGGCGAATAGATACAGTGGGGACATCCGTGGACACAGGACAGCGATGCACAGCCAGTCCTCCAGCGCTCCTCAACCACCGCATGCACTTCATACATTGCCATCTTATGTGTATCTCGGCGTCAGCAATGGGAGAAGAAAATCTCATCGGCACACACACACACACACACACACACACACATGTACACACACATGCGCACACACACACACATGCCCACACACACACATGCGCACACACACATGCGCGCACACACGCACACAAACACACACACACACGCGCCGGGACTATGCTGGTCTGGTAATCTCAACATGCATACTGGATATACAGTACAGTCGAATGTCACTTATCCGGTCGCCAGTTATCCGAGCACGTCGGTTACTAGTATCCGACAAGCCCGGGAGTGGTTATTTTATGACTCAACAGTATAATTCTAAAAAAACTTTTTTTGTGGTATATTATACAGTGTAATATGCATTTACTTGAAGTAGATGTGGTCAAGTATGCTAACATGTATGTGTACATGGAGCAATTCATGAATATGCATGAATATATTTGGGTATTGTGTACATAAATCAGTGAAATCCAGCCATATTTGCACATAAAAAAATTAATGATATCAGTTATCCAACATTTCATGCCTGATTCCCGAAGTGGTCGGATAAGTGACATTCGACTGTACTGTAAGACATGTATATATAACGAGGAAGCAAATCTAACGTTTTAACGGATGACATTTCTTCGTTATAATAAGATCCGTTGAGGCCATACTGCTTCATATATGCTGTGTGTGGATATGGCAGAATACTGCAAGATCGTTAACATATCTTCTCGTTAACCTATGAATTTTGGACAATCGTTAAATTTGCGACTCGTTATAATAACATGTCTTACAGTACTGTAAAAGCCTTATATATAACGGAGTGCTAATTCTAACGATTTAGCGAGGAAAAATCTGTCGTTAAAATAGAAAACGTTAGACAGACATCGATGCATATTGTTGCTATTGAGCCGCGGTTGAGAATGAGTGAGAATCGTTACCTTTGGTACAGTCGTCCCTCTCTAATCCGGCACCTTTTGCTACGGCATTTTCTGCTGGATTAACGAGGAGCTGGATTAAGAAATCCTGCCCTCTGACCCGGCCCTACACAATTGCATGCATGTATCATACGTCAAAACGCAGGGTTTTCCGTGTCGACCCCAGTATTTGGTGCACGGCTTTATATTCTCAACTTTTCTCCAGGAATGTACACAGTGATAAAGTAAAACAGAGAACATGTTCACATGATGTATACGTACTCTTGCACACACACGCACAGTCGATTTACGACTGCCGGATTATGAAATCAAACTACGTGTAGTTCGAGCGATTCGTTTCAAAAAGTCACTGCCGGAGGCGGAATTCAAGTGCCGGATTAAGATGTAGGAATTGAACAAAAAAATCGGTTCTGTCAGAAAGTGCGCCGGTTGGCAAGGGTTCCGGATAAACAAGTGCCGGATTAGAGAGGGACGACTGTACACGTTAACTGGTCAATTTTAGGAAATTGTTATTATATGCGCATCGTTAGAATAATGGCTTTTACGGTATAGACAATATACAGTATAGTCACCTTCAACATACATACTGGATATACAGTATAGTCACTATATACTGTAAACGTATGGCCGGCCTTACCCGTCGTCTGTTGTTGGGTCAGGGACTATTCCGTCAGCAGCAGGGCTGTCGGATCCAGCATTGGGAAGCATGGCTCTATAAGAGCTCATTGCTGCTGCATAGTGTAACATGGCGAGTGCCATACACAGGGCTAGCAGTCGCACACGCATGGCCGCCATGCTTCGGTTTGGTTTCTGCTGGAGAGAATATCAGAAGCACACGCATTGCAACGTTGGTGTGCGTGCGTGTGAGTGCGTGTGCGTGTGTGTGAGCGCGTGTGTTTGTGTGTGTGAGTGCCTGCGTGTAAAATAATTTAATTCCCGTAGCTATGCAGAAGACGTTACTTCAGTAACGTGTGGCGCTAGCCAGGGTCCACACAGCTTTAATTTGGTATTTGTTTGTTTGTTTGTTTGTGTCACGCCTGGCGCTATCCGTATCTGACGGCAAAAAAGCATAGGATGTTATAAATTTTTCAATTCTCCTATTTTTTTCAGGAATATCCTGGGATTCGAACCCGCACTATCGCCCTACATGCATTCCACCATACACTTCGCATTCATACCCATTCTTCCAAGTTGCTTCACGTTATGATCTTGCGTTTGAAAGCCCTATTTGAGTATTGCGGGCAGCTGTATGTGGCCAGCTGTGTTTGATGGTACGGTACGGGAGACGGTGCCGTATTACCCTCGATCGTACCTGTCCCGTACCTATCCCCTACCGTACCGTGCCATCAAAGACGGCTAGCTGGCCACAATGCATATTCAAATAGGGCTTTCAAATGCAAGATCACAATGTGAAACAACTTGGAAGAATTAGTATGTATGCGAAGTGTATCGGGGGATGCATGCAGGGCGCGCGATAGTGCGGGTTCGAATCCCAGGTTATGTCTTAAAAAAAGGATTTTTTTAAAGAATTTATAACATCACGAAATAGTGGTTGCGACTTCGGCGATGATTTGTAAGAAAGGGTTTGCTCCCCACACCGGAGCTCGCGCTATTCCGCCGACTTTACTTGACACTTGACTGACTCACGACACGATGGACTTCTTGTGTGCTCTGGATGGCAGTCGTGAGTCAGTCAAGTGTCAAGTAAAGTCGGCGGAATAGCGCGAGCTCCGGTGTGGGGAGCAAACCCTTTCTTACAAATTTATAACATCCCTATGCTTTTTGTTTGTCTAGGTCATCAAGGCAAAAAAGCATAGCGTAGGGCCCTGAGCTTCCAAGCTCTCTCGTTTAATAGATCCGCAGTACTTGAAGTACAACTATAGAGCGAAGATTATGTGCACCCTTTGGCACGCAGGATCTTCTCCCGCCGGATCAGATGAAGAGTATTTGCGAGTAAGAGAATGGACACACACTCATCTAAAGCGGGATTAACAGAAGTATTTTTGCTATGCGATGCGCGAATCGAATCCCCAAATCGCATCAATCTCGCAGCTCGCGCAACCGTCACAACTGGCTCATCGCAGAAGTTGAGCTGGGCTCAATTTCTGCGATGCGACATTCGTGTGATGCACGATTTGGACCTTCTTCGCAGCAAAGTTGTACGAAAGGTTCAAGAGGGGCTTGAAGATTTGTTCAGTGGAGATCGGCTATAATGAATATTACATGTAAGGACCTTGGATATAACGACAGATCGAGTTTAGCGACACAGTTCTGTTTCCCAAGTCGTTTAGTAAGTCCTTTGTGAAGATCGGGTTTAGTGACAGATCGAATATAGTGACATTTTGTTCTCTCCCGAAGGAGTGCCGTTATATCTGATCTCTACTGTATAAGCTAGGGCGGTGTGTGCATGCCCAAATGGGTGCTCGTTATGGGCCATACCGTTACGAGCATCTGACCAATTTAGTCGGGGTCAAGCGATTATACCTACCAAGTAGAAATCTGACAAGCTTCTCTCTCTCTCTCTCTCTCTCTCTCTCTCTCTCTCTCTCTCTCTCTCTCTCTCTCTCTCTCTCTCTCTCTCTCTCTCTCTCTCTCTCTCTCTCTCTCTCTCTCTCTCTCTCTCTCTCTCTCTCTCTCTCTCTCTCTCTCTCTCTCTCTCTCTCTCTCTCTCTCTCTCTGTCTCTCTCTCTCTGTCTCTCTGTCTCTCTGTCTCTCTGTCTCTCTCCAAGTGTTGTTTGACCTGAATAAGAATGGTATTGCGCAAGTCCTGGGGAATTGTATTAGCTGCATTATGACATACATATCATATAATGTGATCCATATATGGTCACGCAGTGCAAACCTCCAACTAAAGACCACCTGCTACTAAAGACCGCTTTTGCTGGCACCAAGGGGTGGTCGGTAGTCACAGGTTTTACTGTAAGTCGAAAAAAAGAAGCTCTCCTATGAAATGCGTTCAGGGCCCATTTCTTGGTGGAAGTGGCAGTGAACACAATAGGGTCCTGCACATTCAACACCCAACCGGGTCTGGGATTCTACGAGATTCTACGAGATTTTTGCATCTGTACAGCGTGCATAAGGCTTATAAATGATACCAACTCTGTATAAAAAGTGAAAATACCCTACCCTGCCATACCATACCATACCACACCATTCGTACAGAACAGAAAAGGGTGCTCTGTCAAATCAGGCGTCGCAAAGTATGGACTCAATTATCAAAATAATAAATTTTACTACTACTACCGGTACTACTACTGCTACTACTACTCAATATTCGTGCATTTGTAGGGCAAATATTGCTAGCGACCTCCCCAAGCCCTAGCCCTTGCCTCCCACAAGTTTTTCTCATCTTTTTCTATTTCTTGTTTTTCATTAGCTTTAGCATGTTCATTCACATTCTTCATCATTTGTGAGAACTAGACCTGGTCTAGTGAGAAGGCATTCTACTGCCTGTAATTCTGGTGAAGTAAAATAAAGTAACAACAACAACAACTTTAACTACTGCATACTTCCATTATGGGAGCTTTTCCAAATAAGACAATGTCATCTACACGTAGAATAAACCAGTTACATGTGGGGCGCTCGTACCACCTGACTAGCATGACTATTATAGGGCTTAGTGCCGAATATGGGAACGCTACGCCACAACAGTACTGCCACTGCATGCACATGCTGCTGTCATGACCCGACCCCAAGGGTCAGTCAAAAGCCTGCGTTGCGAACAACACCAAATAGGACCGCCACGAAGTGTGAGCAAGACCCAGAATCCCAAGTGCACAATATATGCACGCCATCACTCAACAGCCCACCAAGAGTTCCGTTTCCAAGGACATACCTTGTAGGTAGGTCAGAGGTAAAGAGGAGAAAGAGGAGATCAAGATTGAAGCAGTACCGGAGCGAGAGGACGAACGTATAAAAGACAGGGACTTATATTCATAACAATAACTAACAACAACCAATCAGAGCACACATACTGTACTCACTAATCATATTAGACGGCGGGACAAGGGGACAAGTAACGGACAAAGCTAGATTCATAATGATTGAACGTCTCATAACGGCGGGATACAACATGCAAGAATGGAAGAAGATACTAGTTAATAGACTATGACAGTTGACAAGGCGCGAGATTATGCAGCATCGTAGTAGTTGTATGATTATGTACAATGTAATATTAAAGTGCGTATAAAGGCTACGTAGTAGTAATGTCTAATGATGTAGTGAGTAGTAATGACGTAGTGAATAGAAAAGATGCGGTAAGTTACCGTACTGTGCACATGCGGTGCTGGCGCGACTCGTACCCGTCAGTCAGCTGAGCGCTTGTCAGCTGGTGCTGGCCCCTCGTCTGCCAGATTGCTAGGATGGCTGTGCGTCGTCGACCTCGGGTCACGACACTTCCCCCCGTCGTCTCAGGTTTGCACACGTCCTCGTGTCCACGGCCAGTAAAAGACGTACACCATTCTCACACATACACCTACACACCACATGTACTAGACAACATAGAAAGAAAGAGAGAGAGAGAGAGAGAGAGAGAGAGAGAGAGAGAGAGAGAGAGAGAGAGAGAGAGAGAGAGAGAGAGAGAGAGAGAGAGAGAGAGAGAGAGAGAGATAGACATATCGATAGTGGAAGATCTAAAAGAGGATGAGAGAGAGAGAGAGAGAAAGAAAGAAAGAAAGAAAGAAAGAAAGAAAGAAAGAGAGAGAGAGAGAGAGAGAGAGAGAGAGAGAGAGAGAGAGAGAGAGATGGATACCTAGCGAGAGACAAAAAGGGGAAAGAGAGAGAGGAGGGGAGAAAGAGGGGAAGAAAGAGAGGAAATGAAGTACTAGGTACAACTTAGTACAGCCTGCCGCTAGCGGCCATCGCATATCCTGCCCCTACGGGCTGTTACGCTTCTTCTAGACATAGTCTTTCAGGTAAGCTGGCCGTCTTAAAGAACGCCTGGGGCGCCCGTCGCCGTCGGGTGTTATCTCATTATGAGAAGGTTCCGACCACCGCCCTTCATGAGGCAATCCACTCACAACCGGAGCATTCTCAAGCCTTTCATCTTGGGAGGTCCCTGCAGGAGGGCGGTCCGAAGGAGGGCTACTACAAGCCGGGCCGTTGTCGCAGAAGGACTCCGCTAAATTTGAAGCCAGATCTGTTTCATACAACCGGTCCGTGGCGTCTGGCACATAACCGTCAGCCCGAGTATCGGTGGTTCCTGGACCGTCAGGCAGTGTGCCTGTGGGTTCCGTATCCTCCTCCACAACTGGAAGTAGCCGCTCAGGGCGCACGAAGCACCGCTTCAACCGGTTGACATGTACAACCTGTCTCCTGGTCTTGTCTCCGACCGTACCGACAATGCGATATACCACGTCAGACAACTTATCCTGGACCTGGTGCGGTCCCTTCCATAGCCTTGCCAGCTTAGGAGTAGTTCCGACATGTACTGCTGGAACTAAGAGCCATACCAGATCTCCTGGTTCAAACCCAACCATCACTGCGCCCGAGTCATACAAGTGCGCCTGGTGTTGGTGTACAACGCCTAGTTTCTTACGCACTACACTGTGTGCGTGGTTCAACCGCTGTCGTAAGTCCTTGACATACGTTGACGATTCATCCATCCGGGTCATTGGGGGAACCCCATAGGCCACATCATTAGGGAGACATAGTTCCCGTCCAAACGAGCTGCCACCATCAGTTTTCCGGTGAGCACCCAGGATACCCGAACGCTTAAACTAGGTTTTTTGAATGTCTGTAGCTTGCGCTACAAAGTAGATGAAGTAACGGCACTCCTCCGGGTGCAGGACTTTGATATTTTTGGATTGGCCGAA